AAAAAACCGCTGCATTTCCCAAAAAGTTAAAGTCTAAAGATCCAACCCAATACCAGTCAACATACGTAACCAGTAGTGAATCGAGTCCCTTTAAAGCCAACAGGGGAACATTAAAAACAAGTATTCATGCAAATGGAAGTAAAGGAAAACATTGAGGATCGTTTTGCCAGGGGTCATTCCCTGATTCCCTGAGCACCAGCAAGGCTTGTTGGGTATGTGTGTTTTACCCAAGCGAAGATTCCACGGGTTTGTGCAGACCCCTGTAGAACGACTTTCCTCTTGGAAAGAGGCTTTGTGCACTTCCATGTTTGTTGGTGCAAGTGTAGTTGTCCCCGAAAAGGTGGACATCGTTTAGGTGCCCCTTTCCTTTCGAGGGGCCGGCCCGCATTGGATCTGATTAGGCTTTGGACCCTTTGGACATCACTCAAGGGCCCCCTATTAAACAAAGAAACATGCACCATTAGGGGCTATGGTTCCGAAAAGGAGGGGGCGCAAAACAAGGGAAGCTACAACCGTGGCAACGGGGTCGTCAATCGTGGTGAACCACTTGTCGTACCCGCTATGGTTGTCAAGGGCCCCCATCATGGAGATGCAACACAAAGTCCTTTGTCAAGTGGGAGTTTGGGCTGAAGCGTCCAAGCCTCAACAAAGCATTTCTCGGTTTCGTAAGTGCACCGTTCCCTCGCCTCGTCAAGGGACACCGTCCAAACATCGCTGCCTAGGGGCGAGGGCGAGCGATCCAAGTTGGTAGGTGCGCTCACTTCCAACCCAGCGCATGGGCCAACAAAAGTCCTGGAACTAGCCATTTCCCACTAGAAACGGTCCAAGCCCAAAAAAATGTCAAGTTCAGGAACTCAGGAAGTGACTGGGTGCTCCTGTGATTTGCAAAGGCCCAAATTCCATGGGGGAGCTCCCCTCCCCAGGCCTGAACATGCTTACAAAGGTATCCAAAGTGTACATAACCATAATCGCCAAGCAAACATCGTTGGGGCAATGCGCTGTAAATGCGTATCAGCCTTTCGCGGCGTCCTTCGGGAAAATTGACCCATGTGGGTGATGCACCATTGTTCAGAATGAAGCGATAGCCAATCTCTGTCAGTCAGCCAACCGACCAACCAATCAAACCAAACCAAACCAAACCAAACCAACCAAACCAAATCAGCCCAACCAACAAAACCAAACCAGCCCAACCAACCAACCAAAGCAAACCAAAGAAAACGAACCAACCAAACTTGTAATTCAAGGCCTGCCCAAGAGAGATGCCCTTGCTTTTCCCCTCCGAGCTTGGCTACCCAGAGAATCCATACCGCATAATTGGTCTCATCCGAAGGCCTGCCTAATCCACCTGTCTGTGTGTCAAACTCCACTTGTCTGCGAGCCGATCTCGAGAACTCAAACATCGGTTCCGTGAACAAAAGCCAAGCCCCTTCCAAAAGGAAACCCGACGGGGGATTAAACGAGGTTACTTATTCACAACCCAAAGCAACACAAAAGCATGACCCTTTCCGAGCCTCAGGGTGCACTCAAAACACGAAGGCGCCAACGTGAAATGTAAGCCCAACTGTGCGCCGGGTGGGACATTAAGCAAAACCAGACTGGCGAGCTGCTCTGGCGGGATACTGGTGGCGACCCGCTCCGGCTCGATACTGGCCGGATACTCGGCAGGATCCACCGGTAGGGGACACTCAGCGAGATACTCGGCGGGATCCACTGGCGAGCTGCTCCGGGATACTTACTCGGCGGGATCCACTGGCGAGCTACTCTGGCGAGATGCTGGGCGGGATCCACTGGCAAGCTACTCTGGGATACTCATCCACTGGCAAATGCTGGCGACCTGCTCCGGCTCGATGCTGGCCGGATACTCGGCAGGCTCCACCGGCAAGGGACTCACAGCGGGATACTCGGCGGGATCCACTGGCGAGCTACTCCGGGATACTCAGCGGGATGCTCGGCGGGATCCACTGGCGGGCTGCTCTGGTGGGATTCTCGGCGGGATTCACTGGTGAGCTACTCTGGCGGGATACTCGGCGGGATCCACTGGCGAGCCACTCTGCTATCCACTGGCGAGCTGCTCTGGCGGGATACGCGGCGGGATCCACTGGCGAGCTGCTCTGGCGGGATGCTGGGTGGGGGCGTGGTGTAGAAGCATCGCAAACGCGGATTCCAACATAAAGTCTAACAACCCCTTCCTGTCGGGTGGGGAACTAACAAACTCAGCCAGCAAGCGAGCAAGCAAAGCAACGCACCGCAATGCAAAGAAAAGCAAAGCCAGCCTGCAAGCTGTTCTTTAATCAAACAACCAAACAATCAAACATCGAGTCAAACAATATTAAACCAAAGAAAGGGCGATTTGCACCAAGGCGAGCTAGTTGTAAGTGCAGCCTGAGAGCGTCGCGCAAAGCTCCATTTTCTGAGCTGCGCGCGTGTGTTTGGCACCCGGCTCGGCGGGAAAAGTGGCGGCACTCTCTTGCTCGTCTCTGAGGGGACCCAAAACCGCTAAAAGTGCCATACCCTGAAAACAACATGATGCGCTTCTTGCCGGAAACCATGTTTCAGGACTCGCTTGCTTGCTGGTTTGGCCCGAACAAGCTCAAACTTGTTCAAACCACTAACCAGACCTTCCCAACATGCACGTTATAAAGTTAATATGTATGTCAAAACCATGAAATTCCCCGGAAATCCTTGTTTCTGGGTGAAGAATTTGACAAATGTCCTGCATCCAGTCCTGCATCCTTGCGAATGAAGAGTTTCTCTTCTCACACGATCCAAGGAGGCCTACCGGCCGAGGGCGGGAGAGCAGGCCAAGCGCCGCCCTTGCCGAAACAGCCGTCGGATGCCGTCGGTGCCTTGCCTTTACCACGAGGCTGCGGCGAAAATAGGCTCTTGCCCAGGAACGGCAAAGCAACTGGGGCCACTGACAGCCCAGCCTTCAACCGAAACCCAAGTCGCACGCCGAAAGGAAACATCTTTCCTCAAGTGAGCCTTCCATTTCAAGAAAAGAAAAAAACAACTGGCATTCGAAGTCCGCAAATGTGACTGATGAAAAACGAAGCGAGGCGTGGGAAAACCTGGGTCAGAACCTAAAGGCTGGCTGGGTTAAGCCGATCGAATCCTCTTCGAGGAGATCGGCGAAAGCTCGGATCGCGTCGCCAACCCACGCCCCGATGGCTTCCCCGCCCCAGAGCCTGACTTCCCGCAAACCAGGCAGAACTTTCCACTAGGTCCTCCAGATTTGAGAGGTTAGAACAAGGGTACAAATATGTTCTTTCTTTTTTCCTTTTTTTGTAGTATATTGTAGTAGGGTATAGTAGAGAGGTTAGAATAAGTTGGTACCAACTTTGTCTCTTCTTCTTTTTTGTGTGTAGTCGATTTTAGTAGGGGGCCCCCATCCCAACCAAAAAAGGGGGTGAGAAAGGGCACCAATTGCTCAGGGGCCTAGTCCAGAAACCCCAAGCCCAAGCCTGTGCATGGCTTCCATTTGCTCAAGCCCAGTTAAAAAAAAAAAAAACGAACCATCAGTAGTGATGCCCTTCAACACCAACAAGGGAAAAGAAAGAAGCATTTGTTTCCACAAATGGAAGATGTCCTTGAGCGCACAGTTGGCATGTCTTGTGTCGAAATGAGCTTGTTCGGATTTTGCAATGTAAGAGTTGCCCCTTATAGAACCACAAAGAGAGACACCTTTAAGGTCATGGCTGAAAATGGATCAAACAACGGAAACTAAAGGGTGGATTCGCCTTAGTGAGTACCACCATCGGGAAGCCAGGCTTCTCGGATAGGGGGGGCTTGAGGGAGGGGAGTGTTTCGCATTAAGGGATGCAAGGGGGGAGCGTCGCATGGACCGGAAACCTCCGTCCACGCTGGCAAAGCGAGTAGACCCTGCCCGGGTGAAATCCGATGTAGCGTTAGGTCCTCCAGATTTGAGAGGTTAGAATAAGTTGGTGCCAACTTCTTTTTCCGTAGTCTATTCTAGTAGGGGGTTCCTCACCAAAAAAGGGGGTGAGAAATCCCAAAACCGCGCGAGAGGCAGGGTCCACACCCTGAGCCAAAAGCCAAGAGGTCCATCTCTCAAACTGCACTCCTCAAACTGTCCGCTTCCTTTAATCTTCCATTTGCTTAAGCACCCTGGAAAAATATATCTCCAGTAGTGATCGATTCCCGAAAAAAAAAGAAGAAGAAGCGAAAGTACCCAAGACTCATGAGCAACCGGCCACCTCTCACCTTGTCTTAAGGCACAAATGTTTAAGGCAGTAATGTTGACCCCTTTTTTTAATCAACCCCACTTTCCAAATCAAGGGGGGGGGGGACCCCCTACTAATAAACTGGGGTTGATTTATGTGGGATCAAATCCTTGGGTTCAAACCGCTTCCCTTCAGGCTAAGGGCTGGCTGTGGGGAATCATCATATCAATAAACTGGGGTTGGTTCATGGGGTCAAATATGCCCCGATGTCCGTACCGGTCAATAACTCCTAGGTTGAGCATTGATTAAGGCCATCTCCCTCGTCTTTGTTTAAGTCAAGCCTTAGAGGGTTCAGGTTAACAAGTTTCCACAGAGTTGGGCTTCCAACGTAAGGCAAGGCAACATGTCTCTAGCCTTGTTTGTCGATTTGTGTGTTGTCATAGTTTTGCTATTTAAAAGCAAGCGCTGCCAAAAGTCCGAATCGCATTTTTCGGTTGAAACAACCCAGGGACACATCTTCCTATGAAAGAAACTGGGGTTGATGCATATGGAGTCAACGTTACGGGTATCAGGGTATAGTTAACCATGTTTCACCTTTGTCAATCTACTTCTGGGCCCTCAGATCCGCGAGTGACTAACTTTCAGTGGGTCAAATGGAAACCACCACTAGACACTCTTTAAGGCTGAGAAGCTAAGGAACCGGATGGCTGGCTTCGCCACCAAGATTTGAGTTCCATCAATTTTTGGTCCAGAGGGCACTCTTTCACAAGTCACCAACCGCTGTCCCCAGCGCCGAGAGTTCTCTCGGCGCGGGCTTTTTGGACGCCAAGACTTGGTTTTTGGCCCAGGAAACCTCCGTCGGCCAAGCGGAGCTCGCTCACAAGGCGTGAACTCCTGCGTGGCGGCGATGCAAAGAATTGTAGGCGTCTTCCCCACGCTCAGTTGCCCAAAAGGCCCGGAAATAAAAGGTGATCACCTTTTGGGACCTTTACTAAAAATGCTTCCCAAAAGGGGGGAACCAAAAGGTAAAAAGGTTGGCTTTGGACAACTGAGCACATGTTTACACATACATAGGCATAGCATATCACTTTTGTGTATACAAATGAATGTATACATGTGCGTACATGCACACATAGAGCCCTAGCTGCCCAGCCAACAGTTCCCGAAATCATGTTCTTCAAACAACTCGCACAAATCAATAATACCTAGGTCCTCCAGTAGAGAGGTTAGAATAAGAGCACCCTTTCTTCTGTAGTCTATTTTTTGGTAGCTGAACAAGGGTAAAAGGGCGCTACTGGGGGACCTAGATACCCCCCGGACTTTTGAAACATTTTGGGCTGCTTAGCACCAAAAGGGAGGAAGGCTTGAACCCACTGATGCTGCAACCAAAGCTTGCGGCTCCTGTGCACTCCGTACTTCTCGCCGACTCCTACAGCTACCTCAGAGCGCTGACACGCGAAGGGCTCGACTCAGGCTCATGGCTATGCGTCAACAAAGGGCCCATGTTTGGGTTTGCCCCGTTCCGGCAAGACATAAACGGTTTGCTTCTGGGAAGGGGGCATTCAGAAAAATGCGAAAAGCAACCAAGCAAAAAGCTTCGCCTGGCCATGTGAAAGAAGTAAATGTTGCTCGTGCTCAGCAGGGAATGAGGGAATGACCCCTACTATAAACCTTCCCGTATTGTTTCCTTGAAGGGAATCCCCAGGTTCATTCCCTCATTCCCTGCTGACCACCAGGACCATCAGCACATTGTTTGATTTGTATTTTCATATTTTTTGGGGGGTGGCGGGGCATGCACTTCACCGCAAAACTGAAGCGACAAAACTGGAAAACACATGGCACGGGCAGCCGCCCGACTTAAAGAGTACAGTAGAGCCCTCCCTGCTGGCTGGGAAGCTCATCGCTTATCAATCCTACAATGCATATCTTGGTCCAATGCCTGGTTACGCCAAAGCGGATATCTGCCTGCACGTTGGAACTCGCCACACAAGCCCCTCCTAAAGGAAAACCGCCCAAAACAGGACCCAGAAAGGTCAGCTTCCATGTGGACAGGAGGAAATAAGCCAAGTCAGAAATCAGTGTGTGTGTGTTGATTCCATATGTTTTTCGCGCCCTGGACAACATATGAACATATTTCCAGTGAAATCGATTCCCTTTAAAACCAACAAGGGAAAAATCAAAACTAACAACAAAAGCAACAAATTGAAGTCAGCTTCCCTCGAGTTTGTGATTGGTTCGGAAGTTGAGACAGATGGAAGGTGTTCTCCGTGTGGCACTAGGCAGCTAGGAGCTCTCAGCTCGTCATTCAGGCATTCGGCAAAGAGGCGGGGACCGCGGGAATAATGGATATGTCAACAAGGGCCGCAGAAAATGTGGCTTGTCTTTTCGGTTTCCCTGCGTTTCTCTTAGCACCGTGAAAGCGACGCAAAGTTGCCGACCGACTGGACCTCTTTGGGCGCCCGGCCGAGTTTTTTCGAGTTCACCGACCCACTGCGTATGGCTGCCCGCAAGGCTGCATCATGGCACCTTCAGGGCACCCCAAAGGACCCCCCCCACCCCATAAGTAAGGCGACTTGCTGGCCGCACTTTTACAACCGAAACCAAAGCCTTTCGGCTTGCCAAATCCTTTGCTCCTTTGATAGAATCTTTGGCGGGCAAGCCAGGTTGGGCGCTTCTGGGCCTTCTGGCTTGCCAATCGCTAACCCAACAATTGGGAGTTCGAATGGGAGCCAGGATTCGAGAGACCATGGCTCAACATCTCGGTTGCCCCTTATCAATTGCTCACTTCCTGACTTCCTGAGTGGACTAAGTAAGTCCAGTCACTTTCGTTTACCACCAAAATGGTACAACACAAAAAGTTGAAGTTAAAGTCCGAAACGGAACTCAGGGAGTGAGACGAGACAAAAAAGGGGGCCACATCAAGGTCCGACCATGGAACTTGTGGACCTGGAGTTCCCTCCCCTTGATCCACTTTGATTGCTTCATGAGTCTTGGAGCAGGCCAACCTTCCTGAGTTGGGAAGCCAAAGGCCTGAAATCATGCACCAACCCACCTGACAAAGGCTAAGCAAAACTGAACCAGGCATGACATCCCCCTATTCCAAAGCGCCCGCTCCTGTCCCAGCCCGTTTTTGGTCCGTGCCTGCAGGAATACAGACCTGGCAAAGGCTCTTCATGTTGAATATCGCAAGTCTGTCAATTTTAAACTTGCTGGTTCTCAGCATTGAATGAGGGAATGACCCCTATAAACCCGCCACTGTGGCTTTGTCTAAGGGAATGCCTAGGTTCATTCCCAACACCCTGGGTCATTCCTGAGCACCAGCAAGTAAATGCACTTCAGACGAATCCGGAGGACCATGCTCCGATGAGTCCAAGTGAGTGAATTCATGCTTTTAGGGGGACCTTTTCCCTGAGTTGACGGTACCATCAAACGTCAAACGCAACCAAAAGCAAGGCTTGCAACATGTGCTTAGTACTTTCCCATGCCGTCACTCTCAGAGGGAGCCAGTAGATTGTATCATTGGACCATAGCGGTTCAACCACGCAACAGGGCATCAAGGGGTGCAACGGCAGCGGAGGCGATGGTTGATGTCTTCCCATCCTCGCCATCATATCTTTCCCATCCTCGCCCTGAGATCCGCGGCTTTTGCCGCTGCACACTGGTGTTCATGGCTCTCTGGATTTCTTCGGCTCAGCTTCCTTCTGTTAGGTGAAGCGAAAGTTTTCTTCAGATCCTTCTGCCCTTCTGATCCCCGGAAACAACAAACAGCGCGTGACATACATGTCAACCCCAGTTCAGCCAAGGGTGAGTCATAGTGAGATGTTCCCCCTAGATGAAGGACTATTCCATCGGGATCCCTTCCTGTCAAACCAGTTGATTGATCTCCAGACTAGCGGCCACACAAAGAAGCAGGGCTCAACTTGTTCTTGTCGACAAAGGGGACCCTTTCAAAACATGAAGTGGGGAAACCCTGTGCCTTTCAACCACCAGCAAAATACCCTGCTTAACATGGAACATCCTGAAGAGGAAACTCCTTTGGGGCCCCGCATTTTTTTGGGGTTCCACGTTGATGTATAGGGGAGCAAGCAACCTCTTGTTTGCTTCCCCTTTGGGCCCCAATCGTGTCTGATACTACCTGGTGACTTTTCAGCCTGTGAGACTTCAGGGATATGCGCTGTTGGGTCTGCCGGGTTCATTTTACTCAAAGCGGCTGGGCCAAAAGAAGGCTAAACTTGTTGCCACAAGACAGGTCCGGAGTCCACGTCCAAACCCTGGGGGCTGAAGTCCGAAACAGAACTCGGGGAGTATGAGCAGTTGCGCCCTCGCCCTCCTAGCCATTTCAAAGTAGCAGCCATTCAAGTTTCGAGTCTCCTGAGAACAAATCCAGCGTTGTGACCCTAGGTATGACAACAAACAACTTGTTGTTGTTTTTTTTGCAGGCCCCAAGAGGCAAAACAAATATCTGAACACCTAAAACACATGATGCAACCACAACCCTGAGAAATCTTGGTTCTGAGTTGCTCTGCATCAAGCGTTGCCAGGTGTCTCTTACAATCATCGTTCCCCACAACCATGGTTCACGTCCACCTACGATTCATAAACGACACCTAAGTAAACCTAAAACATGTCCCCAAGCTGAGCACAACAAAACAATTTAGGAGGGGAAGATCATTACTTTTGGAGGGGAAAACTCTATTGATAAACTGGGGTTGTGTACTACCCTTGAGAGGGGGTCCCTTCAAAAGGAAAGCAATCTTCCAGGTACCTCCTCACAGGTGCCATGTTAGTTGGAGGAAGGGTAGGTGGAACAGACATCTTCAGCAAACTTAGGATGCCACCAACCCTGCCTGGTACTGGCCCATCTCCATGTTCCACACCGGGCCACAGCCCGCCATGTAGGTGGGCGACACGGGCGACATGCCCGCCTGCCCCTGGACGATACCTGCCGGAATCTGACCCCACCCCTAAACCCATCTGTCTCCGAATTGAAATGGAGGCCGAAATCCCGAAAAACCAAAGGACAAATTAGAAAATAAGAGGTTCACCTTTTGGGACCTTGACTAAGAATGGACCAAAATGAGAAAACCATAAAGGTCACAAAAGGTCGATTCGCTTTGTCTGCTGTGTGACGCCATGTCATGTTCTCCAGCTGGACAGAATGATGACCATGTTCCGTCCCGCGACTCTCTGAAAAAGCGTGAGCCGCGAAGCCATTCTGCGCATTGTCTTCACACAACTGTTGGTTGAAGGCCTGTGTTCAAAACTTGCTTGATCCATGTGCGCCATTTTCCCGTGTGAGACTTGCCCGAGTCCACCCATTCGTCAAGACAGGCCCTCACGAAACCGAGTCCGGTGGCAAGTGCTTTAAGGGATGCCCGGCGGATTCTGCCAAGAACGTCCGTATGCATAACCAACCTGCAACAATACATGAGCGCCTGAAACCGACGCTTGGCACCCATGCTCTGCCAAGATCGGCTTTCATTGGGCAGAAACCATATAGAACCACCCAATACACTGGCCAACATTGATGTTTGCCCATTCGCTCAACCCAGCGCCAAAAACCACCGTGCAAAAAAAGAGGAGGACACAAAAACACAAAAAAACAAAACAATCAAGTGCGCCGCAATGAGTCACGCCAAACCCGCGCCTGGCATCATCACTTGCCAGCTTGTCTGGCCGTGTAGTAACTGGGGCGAAGGCGGAGAGGTCCCCAAACCAAAAGCGCCGCACTCCTGGCCTGCGAGGACCGGCAAGTTCGATGAACCAATCAAAAGAAACCAGTCAGCCTCTGGGGGCTTTGGAATGGTCTGAGTGGGTCCAATTTGTCACCCCTTGGGCTAGACATAACCCATAGGTTCCCTCTTTTTGTAGAAAACCAACCGGGTGTAAGTCTAGGTCCTCCAGTAGAGAGGTTAGAATAAGGGTACCAACTTTTTTTGCTGTAGCCTAATTTAGTAGGGGAGCCCTCCCCCAAAAAAAGGGTAAAAGGGCACTACTGGGGGACCTGGAATCAAAAGAAACGAGGAAAGTCAAAGGGAAACCCTTGCTCTTTTACTTGGTTGCTGGAATCAGTGAAGGACCCCAGAGAGTAGTTGACTATGTTCCTCTATTTTTCCTTTGGTTTTTTTCTAGGTTCGCTGGTTTCTACGACTCAGGAATCGCGCAGTCACTAAAACCCGCGAAGCTTGAAGCTGTGCAAATCCCCACCCCCTACAAATTAACCATGTGGTGTCTCCTGGTTGTCTTTGCTATCAACCACGGGTTGAACAAGCCATGGTGAATCAACCAGGGTTGATCTATCCAACCAGGAACAGGAAAGTCGTGGCATCGTTCCCGCCTCTTATGCCAACTTGCCCCCGAAAGTGATTTTGCGGCATCCTTTGGGGAGCTCCAGTAAAAGCGGCTGAATTCGATGCTTCCATGGTCCGCCGTTCTCGTTTCGCCGTGTTTGGGCTGCGGCGACGCTCGCATGGAACCCACGTCCAAACACTTGCTGAGACTGCTGCACTCCAGGCGTTAACATGGAGCCGGGTTCCGGCCGAGCAAAGCATCGGTGCTGAATCCAGGCATGCGACGGCGAATGGGCAAATCATAGTTTGATATTTTTTGTTTATACAAAGCGCCACATGAGTCAGAATCAAAACCCCATATGAAAATGGTCTACCCAGAACCATGTAAGGAATTACCAAGGCGGCCGCACCCATTTCTGGCTGGGATTTTGTGGCTCACATGTGATTATCAAACAAAGTATGTAAAGTGTACTGGATGGGGGCTTCGGCCGCTTTAAACAACTGAGCTTTAGCTGTAACACTTCAAGCCGCACAAACGACAGAGGACAAATAGGGAGCACTACGACGAAATGAGATTCCTGTCCCCGTGACGTGAGCCGCCCATCTTTCCGGAAACTATGGGGCCATGACTTCACTTCCGATTGAGTGGCCCAAAAAAAGCAACCAAACACTTTGTTTGCCACTCAATTGCTCCAAACGCAAAAGGTGACTTCAGTCCGAAACAGAACTCAGTGAGTGAGCTTTGCAACCAACAGGAAAAGTAAACACTTTTGTATAACTTGGTGTTTTTTTCAAAATTTCTTGGATGTTCGGCCAAGTTAGTAAGTTGTTCGTAACCAAGGTAATGAGCTACTTGTAAGCCCCTGTTTAGAGGAGCTACACCTATTTTTGGCGGGCTACAACCCATGAAGCTAACCACTTACTACCCTCCCTCCCACCTCCCCACAGGCCAACGTGGGGGAAAGGGTAACTTGGCAACGAACATCCCAAGACTGATCGCACTAACCCCAGTAGAAAAATGGTGTACATACCTTTGAAATAGTAGCTCTATAGTGGCTGTGTTCTAGTGGCCGTGTATTCTGGGGGTAGTGGTTTGGGGGTTGGTACTTGGGCCGACCATCCAAGTAGGACTTTCCTACAAGTCAAAGAAGAGCCATGGTCCTCTGCAAAGTAGGCGCCCATTTCCCTGCCTGAGCCCAATGGCAGCATCAGCCGCTCTTGCGGCCGGTCTCCCTGACCAGCCGTCCAGAAATATGGGCTCGTCGTCAACATGGATTTCAGTCCTTTTGGTTCCCTTCTACCGCAAAACTATGGGAGGCCGTCCTCAAAAAACGACGCTGCACCTTTCCCATAATGGGTGTTGGCCTTCCTGTTCGGGAGCCTTAGCAAAAGCCCTTTGTTCTTTGCAGCCACTCAAATCAACAGAAAGAACAAACAAAAACGCTAAAAAACATGCCAAGAACATTGGAGCCATTCCCCCTTGTGCCGGAAAGGATCTTGTCTGGCTAGATTTGGGGTCTTTGCACGCAGCTTCTCTTTGGATCAGGATTTTAGGACTATTGACTATTGGGATAGCCTCCCGGGTTGCCAAACATGAAAGCTCGATCTGCGGGCAAGGACCTTGCCCACAGGGGTGTAGCCAACAAAGCAGATCACCAGCAAGTTTTGTTCCCTACCTTCCATTTGGCTAAGACCCCTGGAAATTAAAATATTTCTAGTAGTGATAGGTTCCATTCAAAACCAACAGGGGGAAATACAAACATATTCTTCAGTAAATGGAAGCTACAGGAGTGGCTCAAAACCCAAACCACTGGCCTTGTTGATCGGAGGCTCAGACCAACCCTAGCTTGACACCAGTTCTCACCCCCTATTAATTGGAGGTCTGCTTACATCCGGGGTCCACAGTCCACGGGCAGAAATTATGCATCCAAGAGTCCTCCAAGAAAAACCTGGTGAGCATACCAAGGTTCCCATGAAGATTCCTTTCATAGGGTGTCCAGGGTATGCCCTTTGGGTACATCTCCTTGACTTGAGTCCGGCAGTTGGGGCGCCGCTGCGACTCTACAAGTAGCAGCGCTCCAGCTGAACCGACACTTCGGGAGGTGTGCCCTAGTTCTTTCACGGTGCAGCTATGCGGGTGCACCCTGAAATTGTGTGTTTCACATCTGGCTTCTTTTGCCCGGAAACCTAGGTCCCAAGCAAATGGAGCACCATCGATCCAACCCAATAGCAGCCAGGGGCTGGAGATCACTTCCATTTGCAGAAGTCCACTGGAAAAAATGAGCCAAATATGTCCGGTAGCGCAATAAATCGATTCCCTTCAAAACCCAACAGGAGGACATATTCAAAACACACACACACACACACACATTCCCTGCAGTGAATAGGGAACATGAAACATATCCATTTCAGCAAATGGAAGTACAGGAAATCATAGGGGATGGCTTTTCCAGGGGTCATTCCCTGATGCTGCCCTGAGCACGCAAGGCTTGTTGATCCTGGGCTTGGCAACCCCCCCACTCACCGACACCTGCCGCTCGCCTCGCTGGCGGTGGTGCTGGGCGACCCGTCCGGCCGCAGCCAGGCTGAAGAGTTGGGTGATCCGTCCAGCCGTAGCCAGGAAACCTCGCGGGCACGTCCGACACCTCCCATCCGACACCTCGCTTCCGGTCCAGCGAATGGCCAACAAAAGTCACCAAACTGTTTTAAGTACCACGAAAATGGTCCAAACCCTCAAAACAAATACAGTCCTTGAACTCGGGATATGAGACACTGGGGTAGAAAATTGGGAACCCTGGCTTGGGACAAGCAAGCAACATTTCCCGGACTGATGCTTGAACACTATCCCTTGCCTTGTTTGGCCGATGTTCAATGAAACTGTCCTGCACATTTACTACAGTGGGATACAGCTACAACAAGGGAAACTCTTGGCTGGTACATTTCGAAACCCAGCCAGGATTCCCAAGTACTGGACTGCCAAGTGAGCTCGCCGCCAATTGGTTCTGACCCCACTGAATTCACTTCCGATCAAGCTGGGCCAAACAAAGTCAGTACCGTTTGTTTGCCACTAAAATGCTCCAACCCTGAGGGTCATGACTCCCAATGGAGAACCCCGACCCCTTCAGGGGCTCTTGGAAAAAAAACAGCTTGCGCCCAAAAACTATCGAGACCCTTAGGGAAACCCAAGCAGCGACAAAAGTCCGAAACGCAACTCAGGGCGTGCGCCAGCCAATGCTTCCGTCTGGCGCCCTCGTCTTCCGGCCGATGCTTCCCAGCCTGCCGCTCGACCTGCTGCTGCGCCGCCTGCAGCACCTGCGAAAGAGCGGTTTTGAGGCTTTGAGGGACTCGGTTGCTTTCTGCTCCCCTGCTCAAAGTTTAACTTTTAGTGGTTTAATAGAAAACCCCTTAGTTGACAAAAAGCTCAAGTGCTAACATCCAAGCAAAATGCACCAGAGGGGAACTCGTGCGGTCAAGTTAGTAAGCCAATACCTACCTGGGTCATAACCTCGCTTCCTGAGTGGGTCGAAAAAAAAGAGGTCCTGTTTACCACCAAATTGGGTCATCACCTCGCTTCCTCACTTCCCGGATGGGCCGTAGAAAAGGTCCAAACTTCTTGTTTACCACCAAATTGTGTCATAACCTCACTTCCGATCGAGTGGATGGGCCCAAAAAAGTCCAAACTTCTTGATTACCACCAAGATGGTCTTCCCAAAAAACATGAAGTCCACGAAATCAGGAAGTGAAGAAATGGGAGTGAATTTCAACCCCTTTCTCTCTCGGTCTCTTTTTTCTCTCTATCTCTCTGCCGTTGCGCCCAAGTGTCTTGACTCAGCAAGGCAACAAAAGAGGCGCCCACCGATATTCAGGAGATTTCAGAGGTCGCTTTGGTGGACACCATTTAGGTGTGGTTTAATGCTGACTAGCCACCTCTAAGGGGGTTCCCTATTGAAATGCATAGCCAATTGTGAAACTGAAGGGGCTGAGGGCCAACGTCCGGATGGCGGGATAATAAGGCCTCCAGCCTTGCTTGCCAGGAAAACCATCAGGAAACCACTCATAGCAGCCTTGCTAATGCAGGGATTTGAGCGCCCAAAACCTATTGACTTTGCCAAACTCCGTAACTATGAAGGTTTGTATGGGTTTGTGTCGAAACAGGAGCCCTAAAACTGCGGTTTCAAACGCTGATTTTCCTTGAAACCAACCTTATCCTCCCCCTCCAAAACAGAAACAAGCCCGTTTTATCCGCCTGACAACATCATGAAACGCCACCGCAAACTAACACATATACGTGCAAGTCACTACCTTTTCCTTTTCACACAGGCAACATAGGGCGCAGCTTTGGCATTGGGAGCACACCGAAATACTAAGGGAAGCCACGCAGAAATGTTCACTACCGAGGGATATGTCCCCCGGCAATTCGTTCTGGCAACGGGAGAACCCCCACAAGGAACACATCATCCCCTTTTGTCCCTCCATCAACAACCTTTACATGGAAATTATCTAAAACTGGTACACGTGCTTTTTCACTGGCCCAAAAGTTTCTGCAAGGGACCCTGTCTGAAGAAGTTTCTGGCCAGTTTGGGGGGGATGAAGCCTGTAAGCAAACCAAACCCATAGTGGAGCCAACCCACGTTTGCAAGGATACTTGTGGGCCAGTCAAAAAAACAACAACTTTACCAGTTGTACAATGTCGTTTTTGGATGTCTCCGTCTACAGACCCTGAACTCACTTCCCCAAGGCCCCAGAAATCACAGAAAACACTTTTCAGCCATGACTATGGACCAAAAGCTCGGCGTTGGGCAACTTCCATTTGCTTTTTCGCCCCCTGCAAAACATGACAAAATATGTTCAGTAGTGAACTCGGTTCCCTGTAAAACGCAGAAAAAGCAATGACAAAACAAGGAAACGTGAATCAAACAACCTAATACTCAATTCAGCACATGTTTAAAACAGTGGTAAAAACAATTCTTAAAGAAAATGCAATTTAAATCTATAATCAAACAACTTACTATGCATTTCAGACCATGAAGATTCCACGTGAGTGGAGAAACACACCACGCCAAGGCCTCCAAGCATAGGTTGCCTTTTGGAAAAATAGATGGGGTTTCCTGGTAAAGGGGTGATAAGACAACCATCCAAACCAGGGCCCTCTAGTCTCAGTTGTTCAGCGACCCTGGAACAAAAAAGGGAACCCTTCTTGGGGAAGACCTTTTTTTTAGAGCCACAAAAAAAGGGGGGAAAAAGGGGTGCCACTAAACATCTGAGCATTTGTGATTTGCAAACCAACCAAAAAACGAACCAACCAAAAACAAACTGATCTTTTTTTAGCAACCAAAAAACCAACCGATTTTTTTTTGCAAACCAACCAAAAAGGACAAGCCAAGGCATCCCCACGTTATTCAAGCCATCCTTCCGGGGCCCAGCACCGCCTGCTGCGGCACCGTCTGCACCCCCGCCGGCAGGCAGAGCGCCAGCTGCTGCGCGGCTTGCCGCGCTACGGGGATGAGCCCCAGGACGATGAGCCGGTCCTCCTGACGCCGATGCTTCGGATGCGGGGCCCCGAAGGGTTCGCATGCCTAGGGGGTTGATTCCAATTCCATTCCTAGGGTTGGTGAATCCTTGTAACCCCAGATGCAAATTGCTTTGTGGTGTGGCTGGATGCAACTTGCGGAGCATTTTTCAAAGGGTGGATTCCCTTTCTTTTTAGCCATCCTTCCTTTCAAAAACCGGATCGCTGTTTCCCCTACAGGTTTTTGCTGGTTTCCTGAAAGAAGGGTTTTCTGGAAAGAATGGGGAAGGCAGCCCTAGAACATGGAGGCTGCCAAGGGGTTCACACTGTGGATGGACGAAATCCAGTTCGCACCACCGTTCAGAAACCCTGGAGTGTACCTTTTTGGTCTGGAGTGTACCACACGAGGTAAATGGACACCCTGGAATGGTTGGCAAACCCAGTTCAAACTTGGACCACACCTAAGAATCCAGTTCCAGCTCGCACCACCTAAGATTCGCGGTAAATATCAACAAGCTGTGGTTTCCCGTGGTTTCTTAGGTGGTGTTTAGGATTCGTCCATCCACCGCATGGGTGTCTTTTGTTAGGCCCCACTTCTCACTTCAGTGAGTTGGCCCCAAAAAAAAAAACCTCCTGGAACTTTTGGTTTACCACCACAATATAAACCATTTGTGGTAACAAAACACCACAAAACACCAACAAAACCATGTCCCACAATATAACCACCACATTTTGGCCCGAATGGGCTGTTCACTTGCCCCTTTTTTTTCTGGAAATAGAAGATCTCACCTTTTGAGACCTCGACTGAAATGGGAAAACCAAAAGGCTTGAAACAAAATCGGCTTTTGGCAAGTGGACCAAATTTTCAAATGGGCGACTTCAAGCCTCACTTCCAATCCTTCGTGCACTGGCCAAAAACAAGCCCAGCTGTTGATTTACCACTAAATTGTTTTTCATGAACCCAGGGAGTGAGTTCCCTTAGGCCCAAATTGGAAAACCAACAGGTCAAAGGGTGTAGTCAGCTAACAGTATTTGACTTACAGGGGTGATCGGACAAATGGGTAAGCAGCTGCAACCTAAATGTGATAACCCACTTATATGTCCCCCGTTCAGTGGAGTCAACCCTATACACTATCAGTAGGTCGTAACCCAGGTGGGTAATCACTTCACGTATTTGGCTTGGCCCGGAGTGAGACCAAGGCCCAACTGCTCTCCAACCTTGTTTTTTTGGTGGAGCCAACAACCACGCGTTCGGATGCTGCTTCAATCTACCCACAAGGGCGTGCCTCTTTGACCCTGGTAGAAGACAAATTGGAACCGATGCTTTTTGGGGCTGAAGATGTTGGGGAAGTAATCGAAAATAGGATAAAAACCTGATTTGACCGATTTCAAGGGACAGCGTGACATCAAAAGGAAAACCACCCCATTTTAGGGGTTCCCCCAAAAAAAGACACCCCCCAAAAATGTGTCCCTTTAAAACTGGTACAAAACACAAATTGTGGAAGGGGACGTGCGGTTGTTGTTCGCACAAAATAATGGAATACGTTTCGAACAACACAAGTTGAGCCCCAAAGGATCCAGGCTGTTCGCAAACTTGAAAGCCAGCTTCGTCTTCACCAGTTGGCCGCGCAATGGCTTCTTGCAAACCAGCCTTGTCACAAAGTCTGCCGGGAAAAAAGGAAGAAACACACACTGCATGGTTGCGGCAAATCACCCAGGTAGGACATCCTAGTAAACTAATTGATCCCTTGATCACTTCAAACAAAAAAACACTTTATGACCGAAATTGAAACCAAACCCGTACCCTCCACCCATGCCCCAGGATGCCTCAGGTAGCAGTCGCGAACAACACGAAACGGGAACTCTTGGTTGGTTGATGCCCTGTTTCGGGGAGCCACTGAACACTGCTCCACACCCCAAACTTCACGCGTCCTCCAGGCGGAAGGTAACGCAAAGCGCCTGACAAGGGGGGGCTGAAACGAGCCACTGGGGGCTTCTAGTTGGGTCCCCCGGCAAATATGTGTATATATATTATATTTTTTGGGGGGAGCCCATCCGATACATTGCCTTAATTGGGTGCTCTTTTCGCGCCGATGGGCCATGGTAAGCTACGGTAAAAACTCACTTCCCATCTTGTGGACGGCCAAAACATGGTAACCGCTTATTGTTTATTTGGCTGTGGGTCAAAATGGATACCCTAACGGAACCCTGGTAAATGGAAAAATGGACCAAAACCTGTGGTCCCCTGGTGAGCAATTTTGACCCATACCCATTTGGGTGCCACGAAAACTTGCTGGTGCTCAGTAGGGAATGACCTTCCGGGTGTTGGGAATGACCCTAGGGAATCCTTTTAAGGAAAGGGAAAGGGATGGCTAATGGGGGCCATTCCCTAATTCCCTGCGGAGAACCAGCAAGAAAATGGTCCAGTGAGTCAATTGGGAGGCTTCCTTATTCCCTGCAAAACACATCAGGAATGCTGATTGACAACGTCCAGCAGTCGGGACGCATGAAAACACGAAACACAACCTGCCGGCAGGCTGGTGCAGGAGTTCCGAGTTAAATGAGCTTCCTACACTTCGTCAGGAAACAAAAAAGACAACACATGCCTTTTGAGGTGCCCTTTGCTAATGGGATTCCCTTGCAATCACCATGTGACCGGCAAGGGGGCCCTTGTGATTTTCTGCAATTGGAGACTTTGCATTTTCTCTTCAGCCGATGTGCGTGCACCTTACCTTGTTGCCAATGAGTGAGAGTCCCTTGGCGAAACAAATCCCAGACACTCACTTCATGAGTGGATGGGCCCAACAAAGTCTAAATTTGCGCTTACCACTACTCACTTGCCCAAAGGAGCTGGAAATAAAGCCTTTCGGATCCTTCACCAATTTTGGACCACCTGAAAACTAAACCAACCGGTCATTTCAGGTCGATTCGCTTTGGGCTGGGAGAAAAATTGTCTAAGCCCTAGAAGATGGAAGCAACTCAGGGAGTAAGCCGGAGGAAGCCTGGCGCTGGTACCAGGATGCAAACTGTGGAGCGTCACACCCCAGCTGGTTTTACACTTAGCATATGTGTTGTCTGTCCATTCTAAGGTTCACTACATGTGATCTTTTAGGTTTTGCCTCTAGTTTGCCATCAAAGATGCGTCCCTGCTACCCACTTCATTGCTGGAAGTGCTGGGGACCATTCTCCCTCCCTAGAGGCTCCCGATGTATTTAGGGCCCTAACACCTCCGGGTGGAAAAAGAGTTCTCGGGTCTTCCGTAAGCCGACGCCAGAGGAAGCCAGGTCATAGAGACGGAGCCCTGGAAAAGGGGTACGAAACGGACTTCGACTGGGCCACTGAAATGGCGAATCCCAACAAGCGACAAGAACGTTTTCCCAAGTTGAGTGCCATGGCAACGGGTGCAGCCACTCCAGAAACCCGGGCGAGGCCGCCAGTCCCGCCACGCAAAAGGAAAAAACATGAAAAAAAACACACGCTCAGCTAAAACAAGCCAGCCCCCGTTCTCCTCTTTGGATTGGACACACCCTTCCAACAGTGCCTTTAGAGCTTGGCAAAACGGGGTTCCTTGTTCAGAAATTGATCTGCCCGAGGGCTCTCTTAGGATCGCGCCAACGACTCACAAAAAGCAAGAGACATATCCATGTCCATTTGCTGACGCCTTTTTGACTGTCCCATGTCTCCTCTCCTGCGCTGCTTGGTTTGCGGTGTACAGAAAGGAAGGGGGACCCCCAAATTGTTGGTTTTCCGTTGGGCTTCCTCTCAGGTCGCCCCAAATTGCTGCCCAGCTTGCTTGTCGCTTGGGGGGGGAGAGGGGGAACGAATATTTGTGATATGTTTTGTTTCTTTTGCCCTAAGGGTCTCGATGGCTTTTGGGCCTTCAAAACTGGTTGTGTTCAATGGCCTGTGAGGGGTCGGGGTTCTCCATTGGAGGGTCCGGGGTGTGCATTGGAGGGGTCATGGCCCTCAGGGTAAAGGTTTTTGGGTGCCGGGGACCGGGGGGAATGCCCCGCATTCTGCTTCAAATTCCGATTCGAGCCCCGCCTGAGCGAAGCTATTCAGAACTTCCAGCGGCAAGGACGCTGTCTTGATGGGGATCTCTTGCTCTGTGCAAATGGCCTGGCAGTAAACCCATCGGACCCCTTCGCGGACCCCCAACTCGAAACACCCCCCCCCCCAAAAAAAAAGAAAGAAAGAAACAAAAAAAAAAAAAAAGCAAACCAACAAACAAACAAACCAACACACCCACCCACCCACCACCCACCCACCCACCCACACACACACACACACACACACCACACACACACACACACACCCACCCACCACCCACCCACCCACCCACCCACCCACCCACCCACCCACCCACCCACCCACCCACCCACCCACGCACGCACGCACGCACGCACGCACGCACGCACGCACGCACGCACGCACGCACGCACGCACGCACGCACGCCTCCAATTGGTCTGTTTTCATTCTACCGTCCACCCAGCTAGTGGTATTTAGTGAAAAGGAAAAAAACAAATTCCAGCATAGACCGCAAATGGCAAGAGCTTAAAGCAGAAACAAAAAACATCGGATGCCTTTTCGGTTGGATGGTGCATTTTTTTCAGTGGGTCAGTTGCAAAAAGGGTTAGGGGGGGAATCCACTGAACAGGTGTCTTCTCGAACTCCTTTTGGTGGGCACACTGTGGAATGCATGAGGGCTGGAGATGCGTTTAACCGTAAGTGAGGGTTTCCTGACTCCAAATAGGGAAACCCCTCCCAAAAAAAGGGGTTAAAAAGGGCACCTAGCTGGAACTTCGTCCCCTCGTGAACACGGTGCAGGCTCCTCATTTTTTTCCCGCTGCCCTAAGGGTCATGACCCCTCCAATGCACACCCCGACCCTCCAATGCAGAACCCCGACCCGGCCCTTGAAAGCAGGCAGTTTTGAAGGCCCAAAAACAATCGAGACCCTTAGGGAGAGTGTTTTCCCCGAGCGGGCAAAAGGACAAGACTGTGCAGCAGGGGATCCCTCACTATTTTTAGCTGGGGACATTCTGCGCATCAGAGAAACGAAGAAGCAGGGACTGATGAAGCCTTTGGGATGGGGCAAGGCTTTTGGAGCCGGGCAGGCTTGGGGATGACATATCGGCCACAAGAATCTAGCCCAAGCCCCGCTCTTAAAGTCTTATATATATATATAACATATATTATGTGCATATCCGGCGATTTAAGCAACGTCAACAACCGGTTGTTGTCTTGCAGTGACTTTGTGATCTGAGCAAGTGTCACCAGTGTGGGTTGGGCTTGATCTTCCTGAAGACATGGTGGCTCAAGCATAGGAGAGTGTCCTCAAATGCCCAGTGGCCATGGGAAAAAAAGGGCACCACTGGGCAACTGGGTGTCCGTTTAAGTACCTGGGTACTCACTAAAATACCCGAATGATTGAATTGACTTGTGCTGCCTTTGCCCGGGGCGCCGCACAAACTCGATGAATTTGCGGACGGGAGCCCGGTATCCGACTTGATTTGGGGTTGTCTCAAACCAGGGGGTCTCGAAACGACCCTTGTTGCCGCAAGACGGGCACGTGTCCAACGCACCAGCCTAAAAGGCCAAAGCTGGGGTTGCTCCCAACAAGGCCTTAGGTCTTAGCTTTTGTAAAACGGGGGGAGGGAGATGGGGCTAGGGAAGCGGGAACTCCATTGCTTGCAAGGCTTCGAGCATGGAAGGCACCTTAACCTATGCCCAAACCAACCCTCAATCCACCTGAGGCCCACCCTCAACCAACATTACTCCCGGCCGCAAAAGGGTTCGCCCCTTTGATCTTTGACCTCCTAACCTTTTGGTCTTCGCCCCTGAGCAACTGCTCCTACACTTTTGCAGGCGTAGAACAGACAAGTGGCCGTGGGTCAACACCAATGGGATCCCATTTTGGGGTAGGTGCACCACCCATTTTGGTCGGGATTCTAGTGGGGAGTGGGATGTTCACTGGGGGTACAGGGTTTTGACCCATGGCCATGTGTTTTTCCAGAAGGTCTCTCTGGGGCGATTCGGTCAAATCAAAAATCAGCCACGTTTATGACCCCAAATGTCTGCTTGCATCAAACTAGTAGAGCAACCCACAAAATGGCTGGCTTCCTACAAACTCCAAAAAAAAGACACACCTCCCGTTAAGCGATACCCTCAAAGCAAGCCAAACTGCCGCGCCCACCTATGGTGGATATGTCCATTGCTGCTCTATGGTGGACACTTGGGGTCTATACCCAAAGCCCCCCCAACCCCCCACCCCCGCGCCTGAAGGCTAGTCAGCAGCTTGGCACCCTGTTCCACGCAAGTCTTCGAACCGAAGAGCCGCACCTGGCGTGGGGAGCGAACCACGGTCATGGGAACTGCGGATTAAAGTAGAATCAGCTTCTCTCCAATTGGTGGTTTGGAGCCGGGTGGTTTGGTGGTTAAGAGGGGCTTCCCAGTTACCCTCGACAAGAACCAGGGGTTCAAATAGAGGTTGATTTTGAGAGATTGTCCCGCGGGAACTCCCCCTGTCAATGGGACGGGTTTATGAATCCAAGGTCGCCATCAGCCACTAGCCCTCCCGGGTAGGCCCTCCCGGGCAGTTTGACACCAATAACACTCAACAAACAATGTGTTTACAAATAAGCGGCGACAGTCGCCTAGGCTTGCTGAATTGGAGTGTCAAGGTCTCAATCGGGCCGAAGTATGGCCTCAACAAGCCCGCAAGGCCTCCTAGGTTCTACTCTCAACAAGCAGAACAACAAGAGTACGGGAATCTGCCGACCGAGAGCCATCAATCCAAGAGGCTCATTGAGAAGACCAAAGCTGATTGCACCACTATTTTATTGAGAAAGCAACCTACCTCACTCAATATCATACCCTAATGCTCCCCCCGCCCCAATTCTGCTCGGCAAACACCACAACACAAACATGTCTGAAATCATCGATTGCTATTGAAGCCCAACAAGCCTCAATGAGTGTACTGTTGATGGCTTTTAGTCGTCAATAAGCCTGTTCACTGGAAAGGCTTTGAGAGGAATGGGCCTATACGGGGGTCCGGCATGCTTATGAACTACTTGGGCGGTCGGCCAAGCAAGTTGTTCGTAACCTAGCTGATAATCCACTGAACAGTTCGCCCAAACGGAGTTATATAATCTTATTCTTGGCGAGTTGTAGCCCAGATGGGTGACCAAATTGGCAAGAACATCCAAGAACATCCAAGAACATCCAAGGTGAAAAAACAGAGCCCAGAAGCTGGGACATGGGTACCAATCCATACGTGAGCCCGATCCGAACCAGTAGTTTATCTCTGCATTGATGCCCAATGTGGCTTGCTGTAGCTCGAAAAGGCGACTATGGTCGTACACGATTCTCGCTGCATCCTGTCCTTCTGGAAAGATGGATGTATGCCAGCGGTACATGCGTAGAGTCAATCTGAAACTCCACGTTTACTAACAGGACTAAGGGTGCATCCCCTTTGTGATCTGTGTGCCCAATTTAGATTGCGATCTCCTTTGTGTTGTTCCCATGTGCAGCATTTGAGCCGATTCAGCCATCAATTCACTAACATCTGCGTTTTTTCGGGCTCAAGTTTACCTCAGCCAGGTCCGCGTCCGCGTTAAGGTTATCTCATATGAGGCGTTTTCCATAACATAAATTGACTCCCCAACATGGGCGGGGGAACCACCTGGTGAGTACGGCCCTCCAGCATAACCTCTTTGACATTTGGGTCTGGACTTTGTTAAAAGGTTGCTTTCCCGAAAAATATTTGAAGGAACTCAGGGACCGAGAAAAGGGGCACCTTTGTTGGGAATTGAGCCTCCCTCTTGTAGAGAAAAAATGTGGGTCTGACTTCCATTTTTTGTCCCGCACTCCGCGGTCCTCATTCTTCGCGCGCTCGATATGCACGCGGCACCCGCTCTGCTGCTGAATCTGCGCCAAAGCCGAGGACGCATCGGAGGTGGTCCTGCGAGTCTCGCTTATGCGACTTGCGACTCCCGTGTGCAAGGCTCAATTGGCACCTAAAGTCCCTTTGCTAATATGGCTGTGGGTCAAAACTGGGTACCCTAATGGAACCCTGGTAAATGGAGCAGTCACCTGGTGGTTGAATTTTGACCCATACCCATATGCCCTCACAGAACTCCGATCGGTAGCTCCGAGTGCGGCTCCCTCTGTCTGTAGCAAACTTTGGGATACCGCCTCCCAGCTCACTTCCTCCGTCTCACTTCCAGCTACTAGCTAGCAAGACTGACCATTTGGACACAGTCGCTTTACCCACAAGTTAAGTATTCAACCCCCCCTTTGAACAACAAAACACATCCGGCCAAAAAAAAACGCCTCCGGGCTTGCCAACCAATCCAAAAACAACTACGGACTACCTGAGTTGAAGGGAAACTGGGTAACCCCCTCCGAAAAAATGGTCCAACGTCACTCACCCTCAATGATTTGGGCAAAAACTCTTTGGAGCCTGGGCCAAACAAAAGCAACACCACAAAAACAAACACAAAAACCCACCCCCAAAAACTCGGGGACCTTTTTCACAAAAAAAAAACAAAAAAAAACACGAAGGCCCGGGAGTCCACCTCTCCCGGCGGCCGCCGGTCTCTCTCTCGCGCCTGGTGCGCATGAGCTCCGCCCAGGCGGCCCGGGAGATCTGCTGCCGGGGGCCCGTCATGCTCTCCACCTCGGCTCGGCCCGTCCGTCGGCCCGTCGGTCGGCCCGGGTGGGCGGTCCCCGGGTCGCCGGAAAACGTGGAAAGAACCCGAACCCAAGAAGCCGAAAAAAGCGGTACAAAGAAAGCCAGGCCGACAACGGTGAAGCATTGGGAAAAAAATCAGGAAAAAAACAGGGAAGGAGTGGAAAAAGGCAAGCTCAACACAATATTTACCAATCCTACTTGGGGGGCGCGCTTTTTCAAACGGGCTATGAGGGGGGGGGGAGAAAGGGGGGGGGCTGTCCCTGGATAAGCCAAGGATAAGCCCTTAATGCGGCCTCAGAGAGAGCCCTCCCCCCCCTCCCCATGGTCCCTCTTAGGTGGTTACCTACCGATCCTGGGTTATAATCATCATCAACTGACAGGCTTAGCTTCAGTGACCGGGGGACTTATACTTGGGCTACCATCCAACAACTTACTAAGGCCCAACACACAAGTAATCGCATCCCGAACAAAGAAACACACTTGTTGTATACCATTGAATCGGTCTTCCCAAGCAGTGACTAAGTTCAGGGTTTATTTGCAAATGGAACCTCCGTACCAACCAAAAGCGGGTTCTCAAGGCCAACTTCTTTTTTTTTTAATGAGAAACACCCAAACGGAAGATATGGTGAATGCCCTAGTAATCAACCACAAAACCATGCAAAATACTGGTAAATTAGGAACCCGGTGCCTCCGGTTACCACCATAGTAGGTAACCAGGCGAAATGATGTAAAGCCTAGAGGGCAGCCACACCTGGTTGCTTTCTTTATTGGAAAGTGAAAAGCATTATAGGGGACCCCTAAAAATGGTGTAACCACCAAAAACAGGGAACCGTTCCCCCAAGAAAAAAGAAGAGGAAAGGCGAGGGCCCGTTTAGGGCCGATGGCTCACTCCACTCCGCCCGGCTCGGTACTCGCAACCCGCCTGGGCCTCCACCTGGGCGATGCCCTCGGGCGTGCCCGTGGCCCACAGCGCCCGCCGCTGGCGGTCGAACTTCACCGAGCAGCGCCTCGCCGCGCGCGGCGCGCCGCGCGTCCGTCCGTCGCAAAATTCGCCGCGCCGGAGCCGAAGGCATCCTATGGGTCTTTGGCTCCATTGGCCAAGGTGCCATGTTGGTACACGTTTTTGAGCCACGGCCATATGTTTCGCACCGAATTGGAAGTGACAGACTCTGATGATTTGTGGCTAACGATTTGTGACTGATGATATGGCATGATGATATGACATGATGATATGACATGACAGCTGTCACAATTTGAATACCACATGATATAAAACATATGATGATATCTGACAGCCGATAAGATGTCACCACAAACTTGTATGGCATGCAAAATTCCCTCAAATTTGATGATATGATGTACTTTTAGCGGGAATGTGGCAAATGGAATTCCGCGGCACGGCGGCCAAAGAGCTGGCGGGGGGTCCCTTTTGCTTTCCTCAGGCGAAGGGAGATTTAGAAGGAATGAACCTGTTTCAGGGTCTCCCTTTGAGAAACACAGCACCTGGTTCCAAGGAGGTACTGTATACAAGAAATACTTGTTGCGCCGAAACAACAGCGCATCTTCTCACCTCCGAAGTGGATTGTCCAGACTGGTTGTTTATAATTTACTACAGAACCCCGCAAGTATTCTTATTATTTGATTAGCACGAATAAAATAGGCTGGTGCGGTCAACTTGCCCAGCGAATTTAATTGAACAAATACATATATAAATAATCAATACTAAAAGAGAACTTAAAACAAATACATTTATTATGTGGCTAGCACATACAGCTCAAAGTCCCCGAATTTCACCCCGACTTGCTGAACCCCAGAAAAGTGGGGTATCACTGGGCTAGCAGGAGTCATCACCTTTAGGGGAGAACACCCATCAATCTGGGAAAGCGAAAGCTGCAAAAGGATGAAAACCAGTGGGTCACTTCTGGGTTCGCTGCTTCGGTTCGAATTTGGGCATGTTTCACCCAAGCCAAAGCCCGTCAACCAGAGGCAACCAGTGGCCAAGGGAAGAAGGGGCGCTATCTAACGTGGATTGGCAAAATAAAAATCCAGGAATTGTTGATTTACCACAAAGCCAGGTCTCCCCTGCGTTCTGTGAATTCCAGGAACCCCCTCAGCCCCTCTCACTTGGGGTCAGGTAAAGTCGGAGAAGCTGTTGTTTTATTAGACCTTGTTTGCCCCTTAGGTACGCAGATATAAAAGGTGACCATCTTTTGGGCATGACGAAAAATGGTTCCCAACATGGGGAAACCAAAAGGCCAAAAGGTCGATTCGCTCTGAAGAGGATCTTGAACAAATCCTCCAAGCCGTGGCCACAAAACACCGTCAAAAGTTAGAGTCCACTTTCTGAACCCCCAAGCCCACTCCAGAACTGTTTGAAGCAGTTGCACAATGACCCCTGACTAAACCCCAGTTCTTTTTTCCATCTGGGAGGTGGAAGAATAATCGCTGAAAGGGACACCCCTCCTCCCACTAACATGGCACCTGACAGAATTCCCTCCCTGCAGGTGACAGGTTAGTGGGACGAGGGTTACCTAGTTTGTTTAATCCGGGAGGGGCCTGCAAGAAAGGAATCCCGACTGAAAAAGGACTGATGAAAAACTCAGGGGGGCAGGGTTTGCCTTTTCCGCTGAAATGAACAGCCTCCCTTGAAAAGGGCTTCTACACTACCAGGATGGCTGCTTATTTTTCCCACACTGGAAAAGGCAAACCATGAGGGGGGGTGTATTCCAGCGATCCTTACATTATACACCTGAACATTGCAACTTGTAAATGCTGGTAAATCCAACTTTATGTTGGAGTTGGAAAAGCCACATGTGTCAAATGGTTGCAAAATGGAGATCTTCTAAGGAGCCCTGTAAAACCTCAGACCTGTTCGCCTCACCAACAAAAATCCACGGCCCAATTCCTTGGCCCAGCGGCGTGGCTTGCTCAATCTCCCGGAGTCGTCGTCGCCCACGCCGGCATAAGCCCGTGAAAAGGCTGTCCTCCAAAGGGATCTGCTTGGCCGTCCACGCCTGGCCAAGGCCAAAACGGGTCCTTCTAGAACACACGCCCAAGTCCATTCTGAACCCAGAAAAAACCGGATCTTTTCAGAAAACCAGCCGAACCGCAGGGGAAGAAGACGGTTTTTGAAAAGAACGAGGCTTGAAAGAATGGGGAATCAACCCCTAGAGTCCTGGAACTTGTGCGTGTGCCACAAAAATGGTTCAAACCCAAAAAGCAAGTAAAGTCCGAAACGGAACTCAGGAAGTGAATTTGTCTTGAAGGGAGAGAATGTTTAATTCAATGCAATATTTGTTGTAATGTAGTTGGCATGGCAATGTTTTGCTAGAAATTTGTCCGTCAAAGGGGGAGTTTCATGAAGCCACCGGTGATAAACCTCATAAGAACGCTTCATTTTTATATGGACACGTCCTGCCTTTTGTCTTCACGGTGTGGTCTTAAACGTCATGGGAATCCACTGGTTCGTGTCCACCGCTTTCGAAGGTCTCCAACTAAGACATGGGAGCCCCGTGTGCTTGATGCCCGCGCGGACCTGGGAAAAAAATCAGGTCTTGCAGTGCGCTTGGCCACGCTGACTGCCATAACATTGCACATGTAACTCAGTTGTTCAGTAACTCAGGGAACCCTTTTTGGGGCTTGGACCATTTTTAGTTTTGCAGCCCCCCCCCCAAAAAAAAAAAAACAAAAAAAACAAGGGGGACAAGAATTGGCTGAACAGCTGAACAACTGAGGTAGGCAAGGCAACGAGGAAACCCCGACCTGTCGTAATTTTTACCACGGTCTTGTGGGTCGAGTGTGGTTGGACCCATGGGAAGCTGTGCGAAACCGAGCCTGCAGTATGAGCGGGGTGGTGGTGACAGGCTTCGTAGGGGGGGTCGTCTTTGGGAAGCTTTTTTCGGTTGTATCACGGAAGTGGATTCCAGTCCCCACAGCCCCGAGTTTGAAGCACATGCAGCACATGAATTATTTGAATTGGGCGCCCGTTTGGACAGGTTGCCAGTCCTAATTGCTAATTCCAACCGCAAAGGCACTGCGAAGGACCCATTTTTGTAATCTAAGGAAAAGATCTTGAAGAAATCCTACCTGACCGGCCGTTGATGATGTAACCGCTGGAAGACGACAAATGTTTTTAAATAAGACCCCCTCAAATGTGGTGGACATAACCCGATTCGGTCATGCCTGGAAGTCAAAATTTAGAGCTGACATTTTGGGATTCCGGCCCATGTTTTCTCACTTGCCCGCAACCCACGAGGCAAGCGAGCCAACTGTGTCTGATTAACAATGCCCCCTAGAAGAAAAGAAACCCCCGCTGAACAGCGACCCCCCCAGTGGAATAACTGTCCCATATTGTCCCATGTTATGTATGGCAAGGCCGCAAACCCAAACTCGGCGTCGCGCCTTTCCCGCATCCATGGTGGCGGGTTTCTGAATCTAACGTGGCCCCCCAGCTGGTGGGGGCCAAAGCTGCAGGCATGAATGAGAATCCTCCCAGTGTACAGTCACCCAAAATTAGGTGAGATCGAAAATGCAAAATAGTTTAAAAGGAGACCCGGTTTGGTGGGTTCGCCTTTTGGTCGAAATTGAAGGGAGACCAAACGAACCAACCATTTGCGGGGCTCCCTAATTCTTAGACGCCCTCATATGGGATCACTAAGGGCAAAAATGGGCAAACCAAAGGTTAAAAGGCTGACAAGACTTGTACCAAGGGCCCTGAAAACACTGCCGGTGAATCGGCACATAAGTCTGCAAAGTAAACCCTTCACCTTTTCTCAGTTGCCCAAGTGACTCTGGTAGAAAAAGGGCACCCCGTTTCGCGGTTGATATGTTTAGGGGATAAGGGGGGGGGGTCAAGTGTTGGTGCGGTGCGGCTGAACAACTGGGCAAGCTCCGAGTACATGTTGACCCCTGATGAATAAACCTGTCACGGGGGTGTTCTCCTCGTGAATCCCCACAACAAGGGGCACCCGCCATCAAAATCAAGCACGGAACCGACTTAATCCGTGAAGCAAACACCAAGCACACAGGTCAATTTTGGATCCCCGCTTCGTCATCTCCAAGGGAGATACGCAAGGGACAAAGGCAGCCGGTCGTGTTTGGCGCTTGACGCCCTCAACGAAAAGAACGACATGGAAAACACCAAAGGAGCCCTAACCAACTGAAGGGAAGGCTGTTGAAAGAAACAACGCCAGTGGATGCATTTACCTGTATAGAGTAGGCAAACCAAGGGAATCACACTTGAACAACCGAAAGACAAATAGCTGGTTACCCACTAGAATCAGAAAGGGTAGCTGCGGTTCACTGGGAACCTTTGCATTTTTCTCTGTACTTCACACACCTGAAATTTCAAAAATCCCCTACGGAAAATCTTCCCCCATGGGTCAGGCCGCAACTTGCTCTGAACCGGCACCACCTGGAATCTTGACCCACAAATACAAAATACCGTTACAAATTGGTTATTGCCCCAAAAAGTATTGGGTCACTCCCCGTTTTTTTATATGGGTGGATTGTGGGTCCACAAAAAGGCCCAGCCAGCCACCCACTTTGCGAACCCCCCGACACCCTTGTTTGGGTCTCACAAGCCCCCGCTGGGCTTCAGCGCTGCTGCTGTCGAGAAGCAGCACTGAACTCGGACGGGGCGGTGCTGTGGTGCCATTGACAGCCAAGAACAAAATATCACTAAACCAACTAAAACTCACTTGCCCACAAGACGTTAACCTTTTGGGACCTTTACTAAAACTGGACCAAGATTGGAAAACCAACAGGTCAAAAAGGTCGGCTTTGGGCAAGTGAAACAAAGCTAGAAACCCAAGGAACCGGATGATTTGCTGGGACCCGCCAAGCTGAGCAAATCTGCATGCTGCACTAGAAATCCAAAAGCTGAATCAGGGGATCCCCGCGGCCAAGGACTTTTGTCCTTCGTTGTGCCCCAAGGTGAGCTCGCTGAAAAAGGCAGATCAATGTTGACCCCAATCAACCCCGATATATTCACATGTGGGTGTTCCCCAAGTACTGAATCCCAACTAAACCCAGGGACACCCAGAGTTTTCCTGGGCTTTCTCTGTAAACCACACCAAGGAGGGAACCATGTCCCTCTACTTTTCCTTTAAGACTTCTCTCCCACCAGACTCACTGACAGGTCCCTCCAATAGAAACTGCAAAATAGGCCGGCTTCACTCAGGGCTCCCTAAGAAACACCCTTTAAAACATCACCCCCAACAAGGGATGCTCACCTTTGGACCAAAAAGGTGAGGTTTAAAATTTAAAACCACCAAAAAGGGAAATATGGCTGTACTCACTCCGACTTCCCTCCGACTTCCCTCCGACTTCCCTCGGCTCCCATCCGGGCGTCCGCGCTCGGGCCGGCGAGGCGCCCAGCGGCAGGTGCCTGCCGCTTGCGAGTCTGCGCTGGCGAGCGGATGGCCCGGAGCCATCCGTTTTGCAACGAGGAAACCCGGGCCCCCTCCCCTCCCCTCCCCCCCAAATATGTATATATATATTTGTATGCATACATTTGAATAATACAACATATGCAAACACACATGCATATACATATATATATATATATGTAAAGTCATTTGCTATGCCGCTATGCTGATTTCGTGGTGTGTGGCAAGATTTAGGTACCACTCTGCTTCCCATTTTTAAGAAAATTTCAATCACAGGAATGAGATCAGTTCGGCGCCTTAACAAACAACTCAAGGGGCCAAGGGAAATCAACTGAGCGCATCCAGCATTCCAATGGGTTCGATTCAATCCCTCACTTCCAATCGACTGGATTATCTTTCCCCCCCCCCACGCCAAAATTAGCTTCCCACCAAATTGCTCCAAGCAGAAAACATTGGCCCAAGATTTCAGGCACTCTCCCAAAAAGTGACTCAAAAGTCCGAAACGGAACCCAGGCAGTACGATGACCAAGCCATTGAAACAACCTACGCCTGGCTTGCCTCAGGGTCTCATGAGACCGGCTACCAACCTGAGTGATTCTCACAAGGATTTGCTCGGCGTGCTGTGGTTGCCGCCCTTTGACCAGCTGCTCAGCCGCGTATTCGCTTCCTTGCCAAGTCAAGGACATTTCCTGCACGACCTCCAGCACCTGCAGGCCACGCGCGGCCGCGCAAGATTCTGCTGCCCCCATCAGAGTCGTCTTTGCGATCAGCTTGTGCTCACTGGAAATACTGGGTTTAGACCTGGGGCCGTCTCACAACAATCCATCTGTTTCAGGGACCATTGTGAGAATCTATTGAGTGAGCCTCCAAAAAGACCCCAAAAAGGCTCTGGTTGCTTTCCAGCTTTACAATCAAAGCCCGCCCCAAAAAAAGACCCCTTGGCTGAGGCTTCTTTCCTGCATCCCAACAAGTCCAAACGTTCGAATGTTTTTCCCAAAAGAGCGTGTCCTTCTTTGGGAGAACCCCCATATGGTTGTGCTTTCAAAAATGACCCCCAGTCAGAAAACCCTTTTGCGACAGTCCCTATAAAGTTCAGCTACTCTACACATTCCTCACTTCCCAAGTTGACTGGCCAAAATAAGTTTCAACTTTTTATTTACAACTAAAGTGGTCTTTCCAAAAAGTGTAAAGTCCACCAACTCAGGAAGTGAGATTCCCTTTGATCTCTTTGGGTTCGGTTGATGTTTCATGAAATCTGCTGGGCCACTTTGAGGGAATCTTGGGGAACCCCACGGTTTGAGGCAACGCGCCACTTCGTGCGACCCTTCCGCATGCGGAAGGCCCCCCCCCGAATCCGCCCGAATCCGCCCCCGAGTCGCGGATCGGAGCCTGCCGCAGCCACTCGTTCCAGCCTGGCCGCCTTCGCGCAATGCTCACCTGAGACCAAATGAAGTGAGCAGACCCTTCTCGCTGGTGCGATAGGTAGGGAATGAGGGCATGACGCTTACAAACCATCCAACTGGTGGTTTCCTTTAAAGGAACTCCTGGGTTCATTCACACATTCCCTACTGAGATTCAGTTGCAGATAAAGAGGTACAACTCAGCTGCCCCACCCTTCAAAATGCCACAGAAACTGACACACACACACACACATGTATAATGGTTCTACGCCATATTTCAACCATCGGGGTGCCGGGGCTACCGTGTGGACGGGGAAACCGCCCCTACCTCCAAACCAAACAGGTAAGCTGGTGCGGTGGATGACCTAAAAATTGCAAGTGAACCAATCACACTCAAAATTTCTGTGAATCAGAAGACTGTCTGCTTCACTTCTTCGCAATATGCATTATTTGGGGCGCCCGTCATGCCCTCACAACAGAAATGGATTGGCGCACAGGAAGCCTCTCTTTTGAGGGGGTTGTGCAATTCCGGGGGAGGGGAGAAATCACCGCATTTCAAGGGTGAACACCCGGGCAACTGCCCCGAAAATATACGCGCTTCTCTCTGTATTCTGCTTCAACATCGCCCACCAAAGGAGCTCACAGCTGGTGACGCAAGGCCTTTGGCATAAAGGGGAAACTCTCCAGTGGGTTTCCCTTTGCACGGGTACCCTCAACCAAAAACACACACCGCACTGGGTTGTCCCGAAGCCACGGCAGCCGTGTCCACCCCACCCCCGTCGACAGAAGAAACGTCCAGGTCTCCGACTCTCCTCCTCACAGGGGCGCCTCATCTGCCTGAGGCAGAGTCCGCAGTTGCCATTGGCTTTTCCAGCCGTTGCCGGTCAGAGAAAATCTCCACTCCCCTCCCCCCCCCAGACTAACATGGAAGCTCTCAGGACCCAGTTTCCCGACTTGGTTCCATTTTCCGCGGCCCTCTGGAAGCCTTCATGTTCTGAGGGAGCGTGCCCCAAAATTACTCCCATGTCTATCAAGGGTATCCCCCAAGCCAAGAAACTCAGCAGAAACTGCCCGGCGTCGCCTCCGCCCGGAATCGGACTCGCATGCCGGAAAAGGCCGCGCCAGTTTTGAATAGGTTTGCAACGCAAATCAAAGCATACTCATCAAAGAGCTTCCCGTGCCGGGTCACGGAAATGCATGTGGTTGTGGATGTCTATAGCGGAGATGACTTCTTATTCGTTACTTGGCACACCGCGCACAATGTGAAAGTGACCGCGTTCAAGTTCTGTGGTCAAATGCTGAAACGAGGTTGGGGAAAGCAACGCGTTGCAGGCTAGGAGTGTCCCGGGTTTGAGGAAATCCCGAAGTGCGCTTGAACCCAGAAAGCGCCAAAGCTGCAACATGGAACTCGCTTCCGGAGTAGCCAAATAAGTGCTTGCCACCAAATAGGTCTTCCCAAAAAGTACAAGTCCAGGAACCCTGGAAGTGAGGTGAAAATATTTGAAGATCTGCGAAAGTGCTTTCCCCAAGCTTCCGTTCCACTTGCTTCGAGCCAAAAGGCTTGTTTGCTTCACATGGAGTCCCTGGTAGAATGTAAAATGTATCCTAAGTCTACCCCAGACCCAGAAGGCCCCGGAAGTATTCTCCGCGAAGCTGCGCAGGACCCCACATGATCTCTATTGCCTGCTTCATGCTGTGGACGGTCGCGAAACCCATTTCGCACCACCGTTCAGCACCTGGAATCTCGGTTGCTTTCTGCTCCCCTGCTAAAAGTGACTGACTTTTAGTGGTTTCATGGAAAACCCATTATAGTTGACAAAAAGTTAAAGTCCTAACATCCAAGCAAAATGCACCAAAGGAATGATTCGATTCCGCTATGCCAACAAGCAATGGTTTCAACCATGCTTTCTTAGGTGGTGCGAAAAGGGTTTCGTCCATCCACAGTGTCGGCCTGGGGCAAGAAGTTCCCAAAGAGCTCAAAAGCAGGTCCCTGTGTCGCATTGACAGGTTTCAAGCCAACTTGCCAACTGCAAGGAATTCAGCTTATGGCCACTTCACGGATTCTGAGGCCGAGAATTGCCAACTTAAAGGCAAATAAATATAACATGGGGTTCGTCACCCCCGTTCGCCGGCCAAAAGAGACTGGAGTCGCCTTCACAAGAGCCTGCTGGCCATTCCCATGCGCAAAGGATATGGCTTTTGTCTCCATAGTGGGGTAACACATGTTCCAAGAAAAGTTATATAGAGCAAGTTTACGGATCCAGAGCTTCCAATTGCGTCTAAGCGAGAAAATGAGAACATATGTCCAGTGGTGAAATCAATTCCCTTTAAAACCAAGAAGGGAGAATGAAACCACATATTCACTTCAGCAAGTGGAAGCAACTACCAGCCAAGAAAGGGCGCTCTCTCTCTCTCTCTCTCTGTCTTTCTGCCTTTTTCTCAGCCAGCGGAGTCGTCTCAGTGCAGCAAATCAGCCAGCTTTGGACCTGGGAAAAAGCGACATGGCCCGCGGCTCGTAACGCCCGACGCCAAAAAGGGGAGCTACGCAAAAGGTTATACAGCTTGGTCGCCGCAAGAACTCGACCCCTCTGCAAGAAAAGCGAATAACTTCTTCACCTTGATTTTAAACATCCAGCCCAATATCAAAAGGCAGTATACATGGGGACACGTGTTTGAGGAGTGCCTTTTCCCGCTTTTGTTTGACTCTTCAGATAGTCTCTTCTACTAAAAGGGAAGCGGCGGTGAACACCACGCAGGACACAAGCTGCTTACTGGCGAGCCGACACTCCTGCCCGCAACGGCCCAACATGTGCAGCAAGAACCGCTGTCAGGACTTGAAAAAAGATGAACATGACACTCCCGCCTGAACAGGGATCCTTACATTATTCACCTGAGCATTGCCTTGTAAATGGAGGTTTCCCTGGAAAAAGCCATGTTTCAATTGGGCAAAATGTATCTTTTAAGGAGCCCTGTGAAAAGCGTCCAGCTTTTCACAACGGACAAGCTGGCAGGCCACTCACAAAACACGATCCACCGGTAATCGTGAGGCCCAGTCGCCTGATGCAATCAGATGTGGAAGGTGTGGAAGCCCGAGGGCTAAACTCGACCAGACCTCAATTTATCCTACCCTTCAAGAAAATTATTGGGATCTTGCATCGCTCGTGATTGTCTAGTTGGTGCAAGCTAAGGAACGGCATGGTAAATGGAGGGAAAAGGATCCTTGCATTGGATCTCTCGCACCGATCAGCCTGGCAAAAATGATTGGGCTTGACCGGAGGAAAGGGAGAAATCACAGGTTGTTGAAGGGCAAGCCAGGAGAAACAAAAAACAAAATAAGCTCTGGTGATATCCCCACAGCATACCGTGCTCTTTTTAGTGCTCGCACCACCCCGCAGCCCTCGCAGAACCTCGTGGAACCCTGGTGGAACCCTTGTGGAGCCTTACCTCAGGGCCGCCCCAGACCACCCCGGAGCCCATCTGGGCTGAGACCCCAAAGCTTTCAGCTGTTGGGGAAAAACAACTTGCTGCCATCGAAGAATCAGGGCTTAGGGTTTTCGAAGGCCGTAGTTCCAGCCACCCCGCCGCTCTGCTGCCGCCGTTGCCCCTTTTTGTCAAGGCGAAACTCGATTTCGCGGGCTAGAGCAGTGCTGGGGCCGCCGCGCCACCTAGAGCTGTGGGAAGCTGCGACCCCAGCACCATGTGAAAAGACGAAAGGCCATCAGGCCACTGGCCTTCCCTTGAGCCTTCAATCCTGGGGCCAAAGACCCATCCATGTCTGTGACGTGGACATGCAGAAAACTCGCTAACACACAACCACGCGCAAACCGGGTCGAGGCAAACGAGCGCTTTTTCAGGGGCATGATTTTCTCTCCCCGGTGGCAGAAGTCTTCTAAGTTCAGCCATGAGTGGTATTGGCAAGTTTTAGCCCAGATATCATCCCCAACAACTAGGTCCTCCAGTAGAGAGGTTAGAATAAGGGTACCCTTTTTTCTGTAGTCTATTTTAGTACACTCCCGAACCAAATCTCCCTGACTGCCCCAAACTACCCGCGCCTATGCGGGCAAAGGCTTTCAGCAGAGTGGCTTGGCCCAAAAAAGTCTCCACTTTTTGGTTTACCACTGAAATGGCCTTCTCCTCCCCCCCCAAAAAAAAAACAACAAAATACAACAAAAACAGGGAGTCAGGAAGTGGCCCCACAAAACATCCCCGAGAAAAAAAAAAAAAAAAAAAAAAACAAGGAAGTCAGGAGGTGGGAATAAATTTTGTTATAGGGGCCTAAGTAACATCACGAACAATGAACGATCCACGCGGGCGAAGGGGCGCCTTTGCATGGTTGGGTCTTGTTGATTTCAAGTGGGGTCGCCGGGCCTCAGCACAAACATACAAACAAGAAAATTAAACAAAGGCGGAAACACAGACCGGGAAATCCGATGAAGGCGTGGGCGTGCTGTGAGGGAAGGCCATTGTCCAACTCGATCACTAAAACTACCGAGGCTTTTGCATCGGAGCCAACCCGCGAGAGCCAAAGACCCAGAGATCTCACGTCGGATACGTCTCAGCGTCCCATCACGTTGTTGAACATGCTGTTCAAGTTGAAGATGCACGCGCCCTGGTCGTTGGCACCTTGCCAACCCAACAAGTCCGGCAGGATGGTGCAAGCCAGGGGAAAGAAAGATGCTCTACGAGAAAACTGGCCGAAGACCAGTGAGATAATGCCAGGGATTCTGCTTTGTCCCAAGAATTAGCCCAAACAGGAGTGGCTTCCTTTTGGTCTCCCTTCAAGACAACTGCCAAAAGGGCACCCTCAAAGAAAGACACACCCATACTCTCTGCTCGTTTCTTCGATCAGCGTACAAATGGATGCCGGCTGGGAGAGCGCATGCATTTTGAAGAGAGGGCTTCTCAATAACATTCGAAAGGAGGTGCTTGGGAGAGAGCTCATAGACGTCTAGCCCCATAGACCCCCCCTCCAGGAGCTTTGCTCAATAATGTTGACCCCGGATGAAGTTAAACCCCTATTTGCTAATATGGGGGTGTTCCCCTGCAAAAGTGATGAATCCCCACAAAAACCGGGGACACCCCCATAATAATAAACAACCGAAACTACAAATGTCAGGACAAAGGCTGCTTGCTAATGCTTATTCACCTTCAACAAGCATCAACAAGCACCTATTGGACCGCGAAAGAGAGAAAAAACAACAAAAAACAGCACAGTCGTTCGTAGGCAACGCTGAAATGCAAGAAAACAACACAAGTGTGTAGCATGGCAAAACGGTCAGTGAAGTCTGGCAATAACGAGGGAGATGCGTCCTAAGGCAAACCATGGGTTACTGGGGACAGTTGCATCAAACAAAGCTGGCAGCACGCACAGTTCTGAGCACATTTAGCACCCGCAAAGGATAAACACGAGCCTCCCACCTGCAAAGAAGACAAACACAAACAATGAGTTGACCAGTTTCGGCAACTGGTAGGTGCAGTCTGTTGTTGGGCAACATTTGTTGGAGGCTTCCCTCCAAACGCATCTTTAAGAATGCAGTTTTTCGTTTTTGAGGATAAGACCACCCACAAAAAGTCAAATCCTTGGCAACCTGTTTTCCAAAACCCCCCAGAAGAGGAACAATAGGAACTCCTCAAATTGGCAAAATGTGAGTCACTCTCCTCCGACAGCTTCCGCGTTTAACCCTCCAACCCCAGATCCCAATGGCCATGGGAAAAAAAAAACCAACCGCCCCTCTTGCTTTTCTGGTAGCCGGTGTTCAAGGAAGACCCCCTCCCAAAAACAGGAAAAAAAAGGAAGAAGGAAGCAACCCAGTGGAGGTCATCCCTCTAACCCAATGTGTTTGCCCATGTGGCCATGGGTCAAAACCCCGTATGGCCATGTGAGTGTCTGTTTTGGAATGACCCCCGTTTCATCCTTGGTTTTTAGGGCCAAAGAAGCGCACCGACTCCGGAATCGATCGAACGGGTCGAGTTTTTTCTGTCGACTCCGAGCCCGGGTGTCCGGGCAGAAGTTCGTAGGGCAGGTGCACATCTTGGCCCAGTTGCACTGCGCCGGGCCCCGGGAGTAGTCGCAGGTGGCGAACATGCAGGTGCCCCCCGTGATGGTGCTGCACCTCAAAAAACTCGGTTGCTTTCTGCTCCCCTGCTAAAAGTTTAATTTTTAGTGGTTTAGTGGAAAACCCATTAGTTGGCAAAAAGTCAAAGTCCTAACAGCCAAGCAAAAATTAACCAAAGAAAAGTTCCGAGCACTGGCCCAAAGGAACTCCTCATTCTCCGCACCCCGACGCAAGGAGGAGCTGCCCAAAACCAAAAAACCAAATGGAGGTGGCCGATGTGCGGAGAAACGTCCCAGGAGTACTTGGGCCAAAGCTCTTTATGTTCGCGGTGAATGCCCCAGTCATTTCCTCATTCTGGGAAGAACCAGACATTGCACAGGTCCACTCTCAGGAAGCGAGCAAATTGGTGCTTGGTCTATGTGTTTAAAAGGTACAAGTCCCATGCATGCCATTTGGCCGAGTTGTTTTGGAGCATATCCGGTGTGGCGCTGAACCTGCCCAAAGAAAACAAAAGGATTTGTTCATCACGCAGACTACCCCTGAAGGACGTGATAGATTTGATCTGATGCCACCCGCGCGAACATCTGATGTTCGTTCACTCAAAACACTGATCAAAGAGAATTGAATCATGTCATGAGCCCCGGAAGACCTAAGAGCTGGACCGGCACATCATTTTCATCAAAGCTTTGACGCAAACAAATTCTCCCCGACGCCCAGCAGTCATCCACGAGACTCCGTTGCTCAGGGACGCGTCCCAATGGCGGGGTTCATGAGCCGTTTAGCTTGCTTATTGCACGCCAGATGCCCTGCATCCAAAGCGATGGACGAAAAACGGGGCTGCGACTCCAAAAAACGACACCCCCAAACTTGTGGGACCCTGAATGAGGTCAAACGCGAACCACCAATAGCGTTGGAGTTTGTAGGGGGGGGGCGTGCAAGGGGGGTGGGCAAATGAGAGCCCAAGGTTTTTTCGGGTTTCTTAGTGTTAGGATGCCTTGGCCCCCCTGGACCAATTCTTGGGGACTCCAGAAAACTTATCATTGCTGCCCAGGCTGCTGGGTGTTGGTCGCGTTCGCCTTCGGCTGAAGGGGATGAGCCCGTTGCTGACTTAAGCTGAACAACGTCTGTAAATCATTCAACTGAGTGGATGGCCACCAAAAACGTCACCAAACCAGTTGTTGTCTGCCACAAGATCGGTCCAAACCCAAAAAGTGACAAAAGTCAAGGGAAATAGTGAGGAAGAAAGATCTGAGCTCGTTTCATCTGGTGAGCTCGCACAAAATGTATTATGCAGAATAATCGATATAGACAAATTCGAGGGGTGCACAGTCGTGGTTCCACGTGTCGCAAGCTGGGACCCTTTACTTCCCCAAACACTTTACTCAAGAACTGAGTATGTACTTGAGGGTGCCAGTTCTTAGCAAATCATAAACCGCATAAGCCACAATCCGCTAGCCATTTCTATTAAAGGGGAAACGGGTAGATCCACTGAGCAACTGCAAGAAATAACCCCTGGCAGCTCTTCCTCCCATTTTTCTGCGGACTTCGCAAGTTCTACCTCCCAACCAAAGGGCGTCCTACCCCAACCAAAGGGCGTCCTACCCCAACCAAACGGCGTCCTCAAGCAAAGGGCGTCTCACCTCCGAGCCGAGCGTAGCATCGCTGGCCTCGTTTTTTTCTCCCGAAAATTGGATGCCTGCAGCAGGGCAGTGCCGCAGCCCTTGCAGTTGGGGTCGTACTGCCACACGGCCGCGCCCTCGTACTTGCAGTGCTCCTGCGGACTGCCCCAAAGCTGAAGCCACTTGCCTTCTCAAACTTCGTGGGCCCGCTTTGTCCCTTGAAACCAGCCAAAGTAAGCCCCGGTGATATATATATATATATATGGTAGGCCCCCCCCCAAAAAAAAACCTACCTTTTCCACAAAACACTGTAAATGTCCAGCTTAGCATATATATATATATATATTATGTTTCTGGGTGAATTACCATATTTCACCAGCCTGAAACTTGCGGTGGTTGGGGCGGTTGGGGGGCCATGCCCCACATAAACCACCATTTGGGGCGAGGTCGTGTGAGGTCGTTATAGTTCACCCAGTTCCTTTCCGCAATCCAACTTTTCTTTAACTTCTGATGGTAGCTATGTGAGCGCGTTCTGTGCGTAGTGGGTACGTAGTCCCCCAACCTCAGGGACTTTGGTGGGAAGCCCTTCACCAATAAAAGGCACCATGAGCGTTTTGGGGTAGCAACTTGGACGGCACCACGGGTTTCCAGGTGGAAAGAAGCTCATCCACCTTGTGCTTCTCCCCCTGGACAAACATGAGAAACTACGTACAATGTAGTTATAGATTCTCTTTAAAACCAATGGGGGGGAATTCTGTTTCGCAATCACCTGGTCGGAGCTGTGCCCAAAGGGAACAAAAGGTGCAAATGGCCGAAGTGAAGGAACTCGCTTCTTGCATACATGGGGTGTACGGCCAAGTATCGTTACTCTAACTTTCCCACCTAGATGACCTCAGGCATGCTTCTTCAAGTGTTTTGCAGGTCCAATCACAATCATGTTGGCTAGAACTCGACCTTTTTCCCCAACAGCTGCAAGCTTTGGGGTCTCAGCCCAGATAGGCTCCGGGGTGGTCCGGGGCGGCCCTGAGGCAAGGTTCCACGAGGGTTCCACCAGGGTTCCACCACCAGGGTTCCACCAGGGTTCCACGAGGGTTCCGAGGGCTGCGGGGTGGTGCGAGCTTTGAAAAGAGCACCGCTTGCTGTTGGGGATATCACCTGAGCTTATTGTTTGTAAAACTTAAGCTTGAAAAATGTTGGTTCTGGGTGTTTTACACTTGAAGATCATACATTTACTACTGCAACTCAGCTTGATACTTATTGTGTGCATTGCACAAGCGCGGTCTGAACTCAACAGCGCTCAGCTTGCTGAGCTTTAAGAACAGAAGCTGAAAAGGGCTGCAGGCGGGCATCCTTCGCACACCGAATGGCACCTGCATGGTGCCTGAGCCCGCTCTTTTCGATGAATTCTTCCAACTGGGTCCTGGGTGTATCTTTTTGGGGGGACCCCGACAATGGTTTCCGGCTTGCTTTCTTTCCCTGCAACTGCCAGCCAACAGGGGGTCCACCAGTTTCTTTTTTCAGATCCAAAAATGGGTTCGGCTTTCCTTTTGGATTCCCGTTCAAACCACCAAAAAGACAGGCGGCGTTTACTTAGTTATTTGCTAACTTCCTGAGTGGATTGGCAAAAAAAGCAAGCAAACTTTTTGCTTATCACTTACAGTAGTTGGTCTTCACATAAAGTTTCAAGTCCAGGAACTCAGGAAGTGAGTTTGCGTTTTTTTTGGTTCAAGATTACTCTGCGACTGTCTTTCCTTTCCGTTTTCACAGGCCGAAGGGCCAACTTTGAGGGGAGAAGGTAAACTGGCAAAGCCTTAGGATCTCACTTCAGTGGATTTCAAAATGCATCGCAAAAAGTCTGTAGGCAACAATATGCAACAATATTCTGCTTCCACTCGGTCAATCTAAACCCCTTGGTTGAAAGGAAAGCGATCCCGGAAGTAATGCTGAGAACCCAACGCAATGTTTAGTTGCTCAGTGACTCATTTCCGGTCGAGTGAATGGGCCCAAGCAAAAACAACTAGCTTGCTAAGTCGTGCAAGCTCCCTGCCAGATCCTTACTCAGGATCCCCAAGCACTGTTTTGACGTGTTTTTTGGGGGAAAGGCGGGGGGGCACAGTAAAAGTAAAGAAGGTCCAACAGTACCACTAAAACCGTTCAAACCCCAAAAGCGCAGTAAAAGTAAAGAAGGATCCAACAGTACCACTAAAACCGTTCAAACCCCAAAAGCGCAGTAAAAGTAAAGAAGGATCCAACAGCACCACTAAAACCGTTCAAACCCCAAAAGCGCAGTAAAAGTAAAGAAGGTCCAACAGTACCACTAAAACCGTTCAAACCCCAAAAGCGCAGTAAAAGTAAAGAAGGATCCAACAGTACCACTAAAACCGTTCAAACCCCAAAAGCGCAGTAAAAGTAAAGAAGGATCCAACAGTACCACTAAAACCGTTCAAACCCCAAAAGCGCAGTAAAAGTAAAGAAGGTCCAACAGCACCACTAAAACCGTTCAAACCCCAAAAGCGCAGTAAAAGTAAAGAAGGTCCAACAGTACCACTAAAACCGTTCAAACCCCAAAAGCGCAGTAAAAGTAAAGAAGGATCCAACAGTACCACTAAAACCGTTCAAACCCCAAAAGCGCAGTAAAAGTAAAGAAGGATCCAACAGTACCACTAAAACCGTTCAAACCCCAAATGCGCAGTAAAAGTAAAGAAGGTCCAACAGTACCACTAAAAGTTACCACCAGCAACCAACAGCAAACCAAAAAAAAAACGCCTCAGTCCAAGCCCGGGAAGCCCAGTGCTTTAGGCGACTGTTTTTTTTTTGCCGGCTCCTGGCAGGGGCCCTGCGCCTCCTGTGCCCAGCTCTGCCTCAGTTCAGTGACGGGGAAAAAGAGGGGAACAGATTTTTGGGGCTTGGACCGAAGTTTTACTGGGGCAGCAAAAACAAAGGGCAAAATAGTTGGCGCCGAACAATTTTAGTGGGGCTTGGACCATTTTTAGTGGGGCAGCCACCAAAAAAATGGTGCCACTGAACAACTGAGCTTCAGCATAGAGCTTCGGCAGCCCCTGCAACCTGGCGGGCGGTTGGCCGCAAAAATCGACCCTCCGTTTTCCGCCCAACCACCCCTTTCGTCTTGAACCTGGCCATCTGTTCAATGGGTGCGGGGAGAAAAAGAAAAGCATACCCGCATGTTGAGAGCTTTGATGCCGCAGTCTACCGAACACATAGAGATTTGAACGAGGCCAGGTTGGGGTGAACCGGTGAACCCCGGATTGACCCACCTGGTGGATTACTACCGGGGTGTCCCCCATGTTGGACTCGAAGTTGGGACGCTCTGTTCATGAAGGGGCTTTACTACTCTTGGTTCCCAGTACCCTGGCCAACCATGATGCAAATGCAAGGCATGCGAGGTGGGGTGGGGGGTGGGGTGGTTTGAGGTGTAGGGTGGGGTGGCTGGGGTGGAGTGGGGTGGTGGAGTGGGTGGTGTGAGGGTGGTTGGGGTGGGGTGGGGTGGGTGGGTTTCTATGACAACAAATACAACGACTATAGTATGCTTCCGATGCCTCCTTTTACAAGGCTTTACCTTGACAATGCCAGATGCTTCGGCAACTTCTGCAACTCCAAACCATAGGTGGCCTTGTGCTGGCGTGGAAAAACAAATGGCCCTGTTCAATGGCCATCTAAACCAGTGGAACCCCAACCAAACTAACCCAAAAAAGGACACCTATGCTCCAAATCCGAGTCGAACCCACCCTCCTCCAAGCAAGACTCAAAACCCAGCCCAGCCCCCCAAGCCCCCAAGCACCCAGCGCTGACCCCACCGGCCTGGGGCCTTGTGCCACAGTGCAGGGCCTACCTTTGCGCACTCCTCTTGGCAGCCTTCAGCCACCTCCTGCACAAGCATACTTCTGATGGTTGCGAGATTCCAGAAATCGCGCCTGAGAAGAATCCATGGTCCATAACGTTCCCTCACCACATGGAAAAATAACGTCAGTTGGTATTTACGTTTGTGGAAACGAAGCAGAAACAGTTGGGTTTCTGAATGGTGCAAAATGGACTTCGCAACCATCAGCAGGGTGTCCTCAAATGGCTGTGGGTCAATTGAATTCAATTGAATAGGCTTCCCCCCCAAAACGGCGGCAAGGCCCTGGTTTCTTTGGGTTGCGGACATTTTTCAACCTGTCCGGTTGAAAGTTTTGACCCATACCCGTAAACAGTGCTCAAAGGGCTCACATGGTTTCCTCTGGGTGCCGTGGGACAAAATCTACAGATCGATCGGCGCCGGTCGCCAATCGGAGGACTTTGGCCCATCTCCTATCTCCTACCCAAATTCCATGTTTCCCCCAAAAAGGCTGAAAGTAGACTTCCATATGTGCAGCAAAGAAGAAATACAACATTTGGAGCTGGCTCGCCATGCAAAAAAAACCTGGCTCACATCCCGCGTCAAAAGCAAGCACTTGTATTCATATGTTTTTTTTCTCTTCCGGCACTGACCAAAGGCACCCTGAAAGGAACCAAACAGATCATAAGCCTCTGTAAAAAAAAACCTTGCTGCCCACCTCGATCAGCGCAGGAGTGCAGGCCCCGCAATTCGCGTCATACTGCCAGGCAGCTTGGGGCTCGTACTTGCACCAGTCCTGGACAACAGTCTTCCCAACAACTATGAAGGCTAGCAACCTGTAAGAGGGACGTGCCTTGCCGCCCATCCATAGGGAAACGGCTAACTCAGGAAGTGAGATAGGTAGTTGGCACATAGTCAGAGCAAGCAAAATTGCGGAACACGGGTCTATGGTTCTATTTGCCTTCCTTTGTCGGCCGGGGGCGTTCCGGAACTGGCGAGGGCTTTGGTACATCGACACACCACCACAGCTCTCCTGTGTCTGATTCGGGGGCGTTCCACCTGACCTACGGATGTCGCACCGTTCGCCAGTTCCGACAGCCCTTGATTTACACCGCCCCAAAGGAAACATCGGACCCCCTTGAGCTTGACTCCTCTCAAACACCCCAAACGAAACCAATCCTGAGCCCGGTTCATACCAGCACTAAGCCCAAACTAGGACCACGGCTATTCCGCCGTGACTCGAAATGGCAATTCGCTGTCTCAAGTCAAGCCTGGAACGTGATATCCACCTTGAATGGTTTCCATGCGCTTGCGCGCTCTCTCCAAGCAGGGTTACCATGTTCGCTGGTTTTTGCCAGTGAAAAGAAGGATTTTGTTCCTCGCAAACTAGCGTGAAGCAAGGTGCACTGGTTTTTCTCACTCAAACACCGACCGCGTTTCTGATTGCAGCAAACCTTCCAAATCAGCCAAGAACTCGCCAGGGCTTCGAGCACCTAGCGTTTGCCGCCAGTTCCACTGGAAAACCGGCTGTTTCGAGAACGTGGCTGGGAACAAGACGCAGATGAAGTGCAAGGTCCCGCGGCGGCCATGGCTGGATTCGGTGCCAGTGCAGCGGGAAGCAAGCGAAGACCGCTGAGACGGCAGGAGACGACGTGCAGACAGGAAGCAAGCGTAGCTAAGCGATGAGGTGCAAGGCCCAGACGCCGACTGAAAACCAAGCAGTACACCGACCAAAGCAAAGGCAAGCAAGGACCGAGACAGTCGAACTCCAAAGGGAACCAATGAGGAATCAGCACAACCTCAGCCACGAAAGCCAGGAACGGGTCAGCAGTTTGCGTGACCACGTCAAAAAGAGTCTAGATATATCGGACAAACCTCAAAGAACGGACCAAGGCTTGAGTGACCACGCAGCCAGTGCGAACAACCAGCGCAACGAAGAACCAAGATCAGACCCAAAGCCAGACGAGCGTCTTTACACAAGAATATCTGAGCCAAAACTAACAGCGAACGTTGATGCAGTCCCCACGAACGACAACATCCCCCCCACCCCCCCCACCCCAACCAATGAGACCGACAAAGCCACAGTCAGAAAACATGCTGTTTGACGCATGGCGGAATATAAGCCGTGGTCTAACTATACCCACCCTAAAGCCGCTCGGGACCCTTCTCAGATTTGCCCTTGAACACCAACTCGTTCACACCCTTGGCCCTGGTGGTTTAATTTTGGACCCATACCCAGATTCGCCCTGGAGCGAAAGCCACCGGCGCTCGCATTTTGAGCAGCCAACGCCGCCGGTCGCAACCGCAACTGCCCGGGTTTGGTCCTTGCACTCCGCCCGCTGCAGCAGCTGGCCCTGACAGCCCTGGCACTCCGGGTCGTACTGCCAGAGCTGGGAGCCCATGTACCCGCAGAAGTCCTCGGCTCGCGCTTGGAGTTGGCACCCGGTTTGTTTGTAGTTTTAAAGGGAAACCACCAGGAAAACCTGTTTATGTTTATTTATTTATCTATGTACTTATTTGCTTATTTACTTATTTACTTCTTCATTTATCTATATGTTTTCGGGGCGGAGGGGGCGGGGGGCTGAGAAAGACACACCCATCCCTCTCCTAAGCCAGCAGAAAAAAATAATAATCAAGTAGCGATCGATCGCATCGATTCCCTTTAAAACCAAAAGGGACATATAAAACATATTCTTCTAAGGGTAATTTGCGGGTCTCCTTTTTTGGAGCTGGCACCCCTTTGGGTTTAAGGGACACCACAAGGAAAACCACATGTTTGCCGGGAGGTCCCAAAAAGCCACACCCATGTAAGGGGCTTCTGTGGTCTGTTTTAGTAGGGGAACCCTCCCAAAAAAAAGGGTAAAAGGGCACTACTGACCCTTGGTGGTTTCATCCCCGTGTCCGCGCCCGCGCCTTGCACAGCCCGCTCTTTGTCGCCGAGGCCTCCTCAACGAACACTCGAGCACGAGGAGTGGTAGAACAGGGGACGGTCACAGCGAGAACAACCCTGATCTAAACATGGCCACCACCAAACTGTTCAAACCACTTTCTTTTGGCTTCCCCTTCAAGGGAGCAGACAGTTGTTTAAACTCACATCCCTGTTTTCCCTGCTATTTTGTTGGAGTTTGTGTGTTGCTAGTATGTTTCGGTCGTTTGCTGCTTGCTGCTTTTTTGTTCTGGTTACAGGGGGGGTGCTTTTCCAACTTCCCATAACAAGCCACAGGGACGGAAACAACTAGTCAAGTATCAGGAATGTACTTTCGAGGGTCGTACTCCCTGGCTTCTGGATGATGCCAAAAGACTGCAAGACTGAGACACTGGAATGCCATGAGTGCATGCATGCATATGTTTTTTCACATGATGCGGGGCTTCTCAAAACGGATTTTGGTCCCCCCCCTGTGGCATCTAAGGGGAACCCAAAAGGAACCAACCACCTGAATGGATCCCTAAGTTGGACAAATCCCAATGTTGCTACGATCTTAGCAGCTATGCAAATGACAAATACTTCGACCAGCTAAACTCATCTTCATGCAGTTGGCAAGTGAATGTGAGATGATTTCTTCCAGGCGGTCCCCAATCCATTTTTGAGTAGTGCCTGTTTACCCTTTTTTGGGGGAGGGTTCCCCTAGTAAACTAGACTACGGAAAAAAAGGGCACCCTTCTTCTAACCTCTCGAGGACCTAGAAAAAGTGGTTACTTTGTTTTTGCCGGTCCACTCAGGAAGTGAGTGCTTCTCAGGAAATGAAGGGCTGGCCCCTATGAAATATCCCCTTCATTTGCTGACCCAAAAGGGGAGTGTGTCCCGGTTTCAAGCGTCCCGATTTGTTTGGCAAGCCGCGAGAATGGGGGACCTAGCTTTGAAATTTGCGTGCCACTAACATGATCCAAATCCAAAAAGCGACGAAAGCCCAGTTGAAGTCAGAGAGAGTGCGCTCCCCTCCCGCACTCCCGCGCCCCCGCCTGCACGAGGGCAGGGGCTGCCGGAGGTGTGCAGCCTCCGCAGTTGGCATCGTACTGCCAGGCCGCCTGGGGCTCATACTGGCACCAGTCCTGGCGAAAACGTCAGGCGACACGCCGAGTGGTTCCAGTGGTTCCAGGGGTTGACTCCTATTCCATTCTTTTCAATCATCGTTCTGTGCAAAAACCTGCCGTTTTCCCTGGGTTTCTGGAGGTTTTCTGGAAAGAAGGATCGCTGGAAAGAATGGGGAAGGTACCCCTAAGGTGCAAGATGGTGCAAGGCTCCGAACTTGATCATTTCTCTGCCCAAGAATAAGTTTGGCACCGATAGAACAAATCAGATGGATCCTTTTAAAGGAAAATACTTAGCTTTCCGGGACCCCGACACCTCAGGTTCCATGTAAGTGGACAGTAGGGCAATCTTGACTTCAGGAAGCGAGGAATACACCTGGCGGATTAGTTGGTCTTTCAGCAAACTTGAAATGCGGATCCAGAATTGGCACCCACTCGGCCTAACACCAAAGCAAAGGACAAAAGTTCCCAGTTCCGTGTGAAAATATGCGGCCCTCTTCTCAAAAAAAACAATGGGAAACTTTCCAACCTTCGGTATGGCAGTAAAAAACACGGGTTCTTTTGCAACCCCCTACTACAAATGAGCAGAACCAAAGAACCAAAAACCCTAAACATCCCTAAGCACATGCCAACGACAGTGAAGAAAAGGGATGGTTTTTGGCGGTTTCCGGGCTGATCAAGCCGGCGTTCCTGCACTGGACAACGTCCGCACATGGTCCGCCAAGTTCATTTGTTGGTCTTCCCCAATGGAACATGGAACCATAAAGACGGAAATGTCGGGGTCACGTCCCTCCCAACTCCATGTTTAAGGGTTAAGGGGATGCCCGCGCCTTGCACTCGGAGGTCTCCAACTTACATGCGCGGCACTGGGGGTTGTACTTCCGGATTTCCGGGCCCAAATGCTGGCAGTGGTCAGCGCAGGCGCCTCAAGCGCTTAAGCGCGAGCAAGGCGCGTGAACTTTTGGCAGATTTGAGGACAGCCCATTCCGTTGTCCCTTCCTTTCTAGCTGGGGTTGGAAGGGGGCCGGACGATGGGAGTTCTGGTTGGGGACATGGTTTTGCACACATGGAAACCCAAAATGTTTTCAAAATCCGATTCCTCCGGTCCATTTTGTGATCGCGAGCGAGCGATCCCGAATGATCTCGAGCCCCCGATGTGCGGCTTCGGTTTGGGGATGGTAGCTCACTGGGGTTGTACAAAGCTCGGACTTTGTTGAGCCAACTTTGGAAGAGAGGTAATCAATCCACATATGCCAAATTCAGCTTTCAGATGCAGTCTTGCGGGGCTCACTGGTGTTAGGCAGTTTTTGGCAGTCAAGGGCCAGGACGACTGCAGCCAAAGATTGGGGGGGGGGTGGCTACAAGGGTTTGCTGTGCAAGTTTATGTGGTGGATTCCCCTTCTGGCGCAACAAATTTACAAAAACAAAACAAAAGGTCAAAAAACCCGTCTTGGCTGCCGGTTCATGCACTAATCGTCGAGCAGGAATTGATAGCGCCGAATGAGGCCAACAAATGCCTCATAGGGTGCATGTTTCCTGTTCTGGGACCCCTTACCAAAGGAACATGATTTTCTGCATGTTTCTTTCATGGGACAAATTCATGTCATTTGTTGGACAAGCAAAGGTCCACCGCTTCAGGGACAATAAATTATTGCAATTCTTGTCAGGCGCCCCTCATGAGACAAACCCGGTATAACCAACCCTTGCAATGGACTAACTGGACATGGCAGTGAGCCCAACCAGTTCCGAGGACCCGGGTTGCTTCAAGAGAATTGCCAAACCACAAGGGTAGACGATGTTCCTTTTGCCAGGCCAAATATTGAAGGGTCCTTGACTGAAGCGTATGAACTAGTATTAGTCTTGGGGGCCATCCAAATGGTACCACATCTTCCTTTTGCCGAGCCAAATGTTCAAGGGTCCTTGGAGCAGGCATATGACATACTGGTACTGGTCTCGGACACATCCAAATGTTTTTTTGGGGGGGATTCCGCCCTGTGAAGCACAAAGTTATTCTGCCACAGACCTGAACCAAATTCGAGATTTGGGTGTGGGCCAAGCATCGGGCAACCCCACAATGGCTTCCTCTGCGTGGACACAATGACTGAAGCCTGCGGTCCATACCCTGGTGACAAATTGTGATCCGAACCAATTACTGTTTGTTGTCTAGAAAACCTAAACACCCAAGTTGTGGCTTAGATGCACGCTCAACCACTACACCAACAAAACAACTAAACACCCAAGTTAAACTGGGTCAAACAGAAACCAAGCCACTACACCAACTGATGTTAACCCCCGGATTCATAAACTCCTGGTTGATTAATAGGGGGGTGTCCCCTTTTAGTGGGGATTCATCACTTTTGGAGGGAACCCCCCTAATAATGGGACGGGTTTATTAATCCTGGGTCAACATCAACAAACAACTAAAACCTTAGATGCCCAGTGGCCATGGGGAGAAAAAAAAGGGCACCTTTTTTTGTTGGTTGAGTTTAAAGGGGAACCCTTACCCAAAAAGAAGAAAAACAAAGGGCACCACTGGGCAGTGGTGAAACCTCAAGAACCGGATGGCTAACCGCCCGACCCAGGCGCCTGCCGAGATCTGGCCGAGGGAGGTGGCATTACAGCCCGCGCAGTTCCTCGGCTGCGAAAAATGCTCCCTGAAAAACAAATAAAAACACGCCAGTAGTGACTGATTCCCCTTTAAAACCCAACAAGGGGAAAACAAGAATACGACATTCTTAAGCAAAGGGAAGTGATGAGCTCGGTTGCGAAATCTGCTCCCCGTCTAAAAGTGACTAACTTCTAGCAATTTGATACGGAAAACCCATTAGTTGGAAAAAATGCACTAAAGTTGAAATCCCAAGAAGGGACCCGTGACCCAGATTGGCAAAGTTGAGCCTCAGCAAAGACCTGGCAAACAACTCCTCAAAGCAAACTTGTTTCTGAGCATTCTGCATATGGTACTTGTAGACCAGGAAGCGAACTAAATTTTACCGAAGGGGTGCTGCCTGGGATGTAGTTTTCGCACTGCCAAGCTCAGAAACCCGCGGGCGACTACCGCTAGTTGTGCATGTGGGATCTAAATTTAGGGGACCGCCGGCTTGAGAACCTGAGAGCCCGAGACCTCAGGTTCAAAGATGGGGTGTGTGTAAACTCGGCTGGGAAAATCGGACCCCAGCAGAAAGATCTCGTGTTTTTGTTGGCGGGGTAGTGGAAAACAAAAGGAACCCCAAAAAGGAACAAAAAAAGGAGCTGATTCACAACAAAAATGGGTATGTGCTAAAAATCTAGCTGCTTCGTTCTAAGGATTCAGGGAATGAGCCAACCGACCATATTACTGGTTTTCCCAATCTGGTCCCTACTGACAAGTTTTGTGGTCATTTAATCCAACCTGAAAAGGGTACCCTCAGTTTCCACCCCTTGCAGCTCTTTTCTTGGGGGGATTGAAATTCGGTTGCTTGGCCGAGAACTGATTAAATGATGAGCAGGACCGCTGATTATGCCTTAAACTATGTTCTCTTCACCCGCCCAAAAAAAGAAAGCTTAGGTGACCTCTCCAACAGTACCACACCCATGCGGAAGGTCAATTCCAGATCTGTCTCAATTCAGCTGTTGGGGACAAAACGTCGATCTCTGAGATGCACAGGGGGTCGCTGGATGGATGTGCTGGCATTAACCCATAAGCCATGCCATAGAGAGATCCCCAAGACAGACTGGATCAGGAACCTAGCCTCAAGCAGACCTCCGCATGCAAGATGCGGCTTCCCGAAGGCCGGAGGGGAACAAAAAAAACAAAAAAATGGCGACCTGAAGTGGGCGCTTGCAGCAAGAAGTTTGGAGGCCCGGGCTCCAAACACCCCAAGGTGCCAAGGTGCCAGTCCAAACCACGGGTTACCTGCCGGATATATACCTTTAACCTTGACAAGCATCTTACATCAGATCCGGCTGCTGCATGGTCCACGTTCAAGGAAAGCCACTCAAGAGCATTCACTCAGCTTCCCACAAAGGTGGAGCCCGGTGGTTTCGAGGTTTGCCATTTACCCTCAGCCAGAATTCCATCCCCACACCAATCCATACCACTGAGGCTTGCCAGATTCACCAGCTCACCAACAAAAGACACCTGCTATGTACGGCCAGGATTCGCGTCATACTGCCACACGGCAGGGCCTTCATATTGGCACCAGCTGGCACCTTGCATGTGCGCATTCGACAAACTAGCTCATGCGGACTCTGCACTTGACCCAATTCTTATTTCAGTTCATGGAAGATGTATGCTGACACTGTAGAGCATCACTCTGGCAGGCTCCATATGGTTGGTTTCCTTTGGTTAAACCAACCCAAGAACGGTAGCCTCAAAAAAGACGAGGGAAAGCAGGCTTTGGCGTTGAAACACCCAACCTCTGCCCCCCAAAGGGAAACCAAAGGTTTAATCAACCTCTCTTATGGTGGTTCAATTGTGGTTTGAACCACTTAAACAGCTTGGCATGGCTTGATTCTGGCAAGGTCGTCTGCCCTGATGGCGGTAGCAGCGGGGGCGACCCAATTAATGCCTGGGTCCGAAAACGAGACACCATGAAAATACAAGGACCCCCCCCCCAACAAAGAAAGAAGAGAGTAATTTGGCTTGGACATGTTGCTGTAATCCAGGCCAACTAATGCAATGTCTTCACAGACCCCCACCCCCCCAAGGCGAAGACGCCTGGTAAGCGACCTTGATGATGCGACGACCGACTATTGACAGCCAAGGGGCAAGAGCCGGAAGGTGTCTGTACAGCATGCTGCTGCAAAAGTGCTGCCGTGCAGCCGCCGCAATTGGCGTCATACTGCCAGGCAGTCTGGGGCTCATACTTGCAGTAGTCCTTGCACTCACCCTTGGTAGCCACCGCATCTTGAAGGAGAGCTGGCGTGCAGCCGCCGCAATTGGCATCATACTGCCAGGCAGTCTGGGGCTCATACTTGCAGTAGTCCTTGCACTCACCCTTGGTAGCGACCGCATCTTGAACAAGAGCTGGCGTGCAGCCGCCGCAATTGGCGTCATACTGCCAGGCAGTCTGGGGCTCATACTTGCAGTAGTCCTTGCACTCACCCTTGGTAACGACCGTATCTTGCACAAGAGCTGTGGGGGCTGCTTGACAGCCGCCGCAATTGGCGTCATACTGCCAGGCAGTCTGGGGCTCATACTTGCAGTAGTCCTTACACTCCCTCTTCTGCAACAGGCTGGGCTTGCATGCTTGGCAGTCGGGGTTGTACTGCCACACAGCTTCGCCCACATACTTGCAGAAATCCAGGCACTGGGCTGTGACGGTGATGTTGGAGCGTTGGGTGACGCCACAAGCGCGGCAGTTGGGATCATACTGCCACACAGCTGGGCCCTCATACTGGCAAAAGCTTGCGCAGCCTTCGGTGGGTACCTGGCCGACTTGCTGCTGCAGCAAGGATGGCTTGCAGCCGCTGCAGTCCGAATCATACTGCCACAGCGCAGAGCCCACAAACTGGCAATGGTCCATGCAGCTGCTGTGGGTTTCCACAACTACATCTTGCACCAATGCTGGCGTGCAGCCGCCGCAGTTAGCATCATACTGCCAGGCAGTCTGGGGCTCATACTTGCAGTAGTCCTTGCACTCAACCTTGGCCTTCTGCAGCAGCACGGGCTTGCATGCTTGGCAATCTGGGTTGTACTGCCACACTGCTGTGCCAACGTACTCACAGTAGGTTTGGCAGTGGTTCACAGTCCTGTTGGCAATGGCTGCGGGCGTGCAGGCAGCGCAATTGGGGTCATATTGCCAGGTGGCAGGTCCCTCATATTGGCACCAGCTGGCACAAGGCCCGGGCGTCTGCGAGGCATACTCTTCCAGCAGTGAGCTCTTGCAATTCTGGCAGCCCGGGTCAGACCCCCACATGGAAAAGCCAACAAACTTGCAGTGGTCCTCACACAGCCCTTCCTCTGCTGAATCCTGCACAAGCGCCGGTGCTGCTTGACAGCCGCCGCAATTGGCGTCATACTGCCAGGCAGTCTGAGGCTCATACTTGCAGTAGTCCTTACACTCCCTCTTCTGCAACAGGCTGGGCTTGCATGCTTGGCAGTCGGGGTTGTACTGCCACACAGCTTCGCCCACATACTTGCAAAAATCCAGGCACTGGGCTGTGACGGTGATGTTGGAGCGTTGAGTGACGCCACAAGCGCGGCAGTTGGGATCATACTGCCACACAGCTGGGCCCTCATACTGGCAAAAGCTTGCGCAGCCTTCGGTGGGTACCTGGCCGACTTGCTGCTGCAGCAAGGATGGCTTGCAGCCGCTGCAGTCCGAATCATACTGCCACAGCGCAGAGCCCACAAACTGGCAATGGTCCATGCAGCTGCTGTGGGTTTCCACAACTACATCTTGCACCAGTGCTGGCGTGCAGCCGCCGCAGTTGGCATCATACTGCCAGGCAGTCTGGGGCTCATACTTGCAGTAGTCCTTGCACTCAACCTGGGCCTTCTGCAGCAGCACAGGCTTGCAGGCTTGGCAATCCGGGTTGTACTGCCACACTGCTGTGCCAACGTACTCACAATAGGTTTGGCAGTGGTTCACAGTCCTGTTGGCAATGGCTGCGGGCGTGCAGGCAGCGCAATTGGGGTCATATTGCCAGGTGGCAGGTCCCTCATATTGGCACCAGCTGGCACAAGGCCCGGGCGTCTGCGATGCGTGGACAGCTCCCGAATCCTGCAAAAGCACCGCCGCGCAGCCGCCGCAATTGGCGTCATACTGCCAGGCAGTCTGGGGCTCATACTTGCAGTAGTCCTTGCACTCACCCTTGGTAGCGACCGCATCTTGCACAAGAGCTGGCGTGCAGCCGCCGCAATTGGCGTCATACTGCCAGGCAGTCTGGGGCTCATACTTGCAGTAGTCCTTGCACTCACCCTTGGTAACGACCGTATCTTGCACAAGAGCTGTGGGGGCTTCTTGGCAGCCGCCGCAATTGGCATCATACTGCCAGGCAGTCTGGGGCTCATACTTGCAGTAGTCCTTACACTCCCTCTTCTGCAACAGGCTGGGCTTGCATGCTTGGCAGTCGGGGTTGTACTGCCACACAGCTTCGCCCACATACTTGCAGAAATCCAGGCACTGGGCTGTGACGGTGATGTTGGAGCGTTGAGTGACGCCACAAGCGCGGCAGTTGGGATCATACTGCCACACAGCTGGGCCCTCATACTGGCAAAAGCTTGCGCAGCCTTCAGCAGGTGCCTGGCCGACTTGCTGCTGCAGCAAGGATGGCTTGCAGCCGATGCAGTCCGGATCAAACTGCCACAACGCAGAGCCAACAAACTGGCAATGATCCATGCAGCTGCTGTGGGCTTCCACAACTACATCTTGCAAAAATGCTGCTGTACAGCCGCCACAATTGGCGTCATACTGCCAAGCTGCTGAGGGCTCATACTTGCAGTAGTCCTTGCACTCAACCTGTGCCTGCTGCAACAGGTAAGGTGAGCATGCTTGGCAATCTGGGTTGTACTGCCAGACTGCCGTGCCAACATACTGGCAGTAGGTTTGGCAGTGGTTCACAGTCCTATTGGCAATGGCTGCGGGCGTGCAGGCAGCGCAATTGGGGTCATATTGCCAGGTGGCAGGTCCCTCATATTGGCACCAGCTGGCACAAGGCCCGGGCGTCTGCGATGCATACTCTTCCAAGAGTGAGCTCTTGCAATTCTGGCAGCCCGGGTCAGACCCCCACATGGAAAAGCCAACAAACTTGCAGTGGTCCTCACAAAGCCCTTCAGCTGCAGAATCCTGCACAAGCGCTGCCGGGGCTGCTTGACAGCCGCCGCAATTGGCGTCATACTGCCAGGCAGTCTGGGGCTCATACTTGCAGTAGTCCTTGCACTCCCTCTGCAACAGGCTGGGCTTGCATGCTTGGCAGTCGGGGTTGTACTGCCACACAGCTTCGCCCACATACTTGCAAAAATCCAGGCACTGGGCTGTGACGGTGATGTTGGAGCGTTGGGTGACGCCACAAGCGCGACAGTTGGGATCATACTGCCACACAGCTGGGCCCTCATACTGGCAAAAGCTTGCGCAGCCTTCGGTGGGTACCTGGCCGACTTGCTGCTGCAGCAAGGACGGCTTGCAGCCGCTGCAGTCCGAATCATACTGCCACAGCGCAGAGCCCACAAACTGGCAATGGTCCATGCAGCTGCTGTGGGTTTCCACAACTACATCTTGCACCAGTGCTGGCGTGCAGCCGCCGCAGTTGGCATCATACTGCCAGGCAGTCTGGGGCTCATACTTGCAGTAGTCCTTGCACTCAACCTGGGCCTTCTGCAGCAGCACGGGCTTGCAGGCTTGGCAATCCGGGTTGTACTGCCACACTGCTGTGCCAACGTACTCACAGTAGGTTTGGCAGTGGTTCACAGTCCTGTTGGCAATGGCTGCGGGCGTGCAGGCAGCGCAATTGGGGTCATATTGCCAGGTGGCAGGTCCCTCATATTGGCACCAGCTGGCACAAGGCCCGGGCGTCTGCGATGCGTGGACAGCTCCCGAATCCTGCAAAAGCACCGCCGCGCAGCCGCCGCAATTGGCGTCATACTGCCAGGCAGTCTGGGGCTCGTACTTGCAGTAGTCCTTGCACTCACCCCTGGTAGATTCTTTGGCCTCGGCTAGCAAGATTGCAACGTCCAGGTTTACTTTAATGTAGGTTCGCCTATGTCCACAAAGCCCCTGCAAGTGACCAGTGACTATTTGGGGCCAAGGTTGATTTCCTGAGCATGACCTCCCCATGGCGCTCCTTGGTATGGCTCTGAGGCACCTTCACTCAAGCAAAATGCTCAAAGTGCGCAAGCACAGCGTAGTTGGAGCTTGGTCGCACTTGACACCTAGCTTCATTAAAGTTTGGCACATGCATTCATTCTTGATTGGACGTTTGTTGTGTTATAACATACGGTTGGCCTCTCATCATGTTTCTTCAGGGATTCGGTTGTGTGCTTCACTTTTGGCCACCAACATGCAACACATATCACAACTCTTCAAGAGGCGGCCCGGCACCTTGATGCACATGCATAATATACACGGAACATATGTGCATATAACAATGTATGACCATGAACACATAGAAGCACAATGTGCGACGCGAACATGTCAAGCTGAGCAGGCATCAACACAAATTATGGTTGAGCTTGCGCAGCTTCAAACTGCTACAACGCTAAGGTTCCAGCAACCGGTGAAGATGCTTCACTGCATGCAATTGCAGCTGGACAAGGGCAGAATGAATGCTGTCACATGCAATGGGGGCCGAAGCGGCCACTAACCTCTTGAGGACGCAACAGATACAACCAAACAAAGCACAGGACACGGGAATCCATTCTCATGTATGTGGACACCAAAAATATCCAACATTGCCAGTTCACGTGCCGCTGAACAAGTACTCGGCTCTCTTTTTGATGCCAGCGAGCCAACCAGAAGGGGATCCATCCCCTGGCAAACCGGTCCCCGTGCCTGCCAAACAGCGGATGTCTCACGGGTGATTCGAATCAGCCAAGCAACTGATTCCAAGCTACAGCTGGTATTTCCATGGGCTCAAATGCAACGCAAGAAGGTTGAGCTCGGTTGCTTTCTGCTCCCCTGCTAAAAGTTTAATTTTTAGTGGTTCAGTGGAAAAGCAAAAGGCGCCAAAGGTTACTTGGCCAACGTAAACAAAGCAAATCACGGCCTTTGGGAGCGCAATGCGCCGACTGTCAAGGCCCACACGGTGCAGACTCACAGGGATCATTGGTACAACTTCCATTTGCTTAAGCCCCCTAGAAACAAAATATGTCCAGCAGTGATAGGTCCCCTCAAAATCCAAGGGAAAATGACACATATTCTGAAACGCAAATGGAAGGTTAGGGACCCTTTGATGGGATCATTTAGGTCGGGATTCATCTAAACCGGCCACTTGTGAGGTGGTTCCTCATTGAACTCCATTGCCACGTGGCAAAAGCCAGTGGAAGACAACACGGTACGGACGGTACATCGCAATCCATGGAAGTGATTGTTGATTTGGATTGGCGGTTGGGTAGTTGCGCGGTGGTTTCCCCTTAACCCTCTACAAAAGCCAGGGGTTCAAATCAAATCCCCAAAAAACATCGACTTTCTTGGAATCCAAACTTGCCAAGTCGCCAATTTTGGTCCAGTCACCACAGCGCCGTCGGCCTGGATGGCCATTGCACCGGCACCTGGGTTTGGGGGGGGGGGGGGGTGGGGTTTGGGGGTTTCCGGTTTGGTGTGGGCCGGGCAACCCCTCAAAAAAAAAAATGGGCGGAAAAACACTTGCCTGGAATTAGGCCCAGGAAAAACAAACACCGATATTTGGTTTCTTGCCTGGTTGGGGGAGACATGGGGACCCAATGAAAGCAACAAATCACAAAGGGGAGCTAATTCTGGGGAAGTCGAAAGTTAACATATTGTAGCCACTATATTCAGCCTATATTAAGCCTTTGTCTGAAGATGCCTTCTTTTGCCTGGGGTTAGTGGTTTGGGGACTTGGATGTTCCATTCGCCAAGTTCGTAAGTGGTTTGCTTCCTGGGTGTTAACCCACTGATAGCAGGCTTAACTCCACTGAGTGGGGCTTATACGTAGGTGAAAACCTAGGCGACCAGCAACATACAAACTTGGCCATCCAAGTAGCATCCCAGTTGGTAGGTTTCATGTAGGTTCCCTTTTCAAGCCTGGCTTGGTCTGGCACCCCGCCCCTTCCCCACCAAGTAGGTCCCGGCGTCCTGTTCATGAGCCTCCAGCAAAATCCCTACGAGTGGTATTCAGGAGCTCGGGGCGAACTATCTCAGGAGGCTGTGACTTTCCTTCAGGGGACAAGTTTGGAAACAGCAATACTTTGGTGTCCATAGCTTGGATTTGTGACGAGGGGCTGGGAATAACAAAAAAACATGTGATTGTTGTGGACTCCGCTTTGGAAAACGGTCTGAACGAATGATAGCAACTTGTTTGAACTAAGGCATGCAGCGCCCCAAAAAGCTCTCCAAAACCAGCGTTGCTTTATAGGATGCATCCAAAACCGGGCGCCATGTTTTCGAAGTCACACTCCAAGACCCTAATAGTAAACTCACTTCCTGAGTGGTTGCTGGCCACTCAAAAGGTCTAAACTAGTTGCTTGCAGCTCAAACCGTCCAAACCCAAAAAAAAGGCTGAACCAGTCCCATGAACTCAGGCAGTGAGACATGACGCTCCGGCTGCCCCACCCCAGCTTCAGGGCAAGCCGCTGGCCTTTTCCACCTCCAACCTCGGATTTGGCTCCGCGAACCAGCCACCCAACCAGCGACCCAAGGACTTCGGATTCTTACCCCTCAAAACTCCAAGCCCTGGGGAAGTTAATCTTTTCCAGACATATAGCCCATGTTACCCCCAAAAAGTTGAAAAGTTGTGTTTTTTAGAGGTAAGGATCCATGGCACCTCAAGTGCCTCATGCTGTAGACACACCAAAATTTTCAGTTTCTTATGCCCAGGAGTAAACAGCGAATCAACAATCCAGCACGGCCCGAAGCACACGGTACAGCAAGAAAGCCAAAACGGAATCATCCTGAACAGATGACCACCACCCGTGGATGCCCTATTCATCAACCCCAGCTTTTTAACAGGGGAGAGTGCTTTGTCTCCTGGGAATCATATTTTTTTTGGAGGGGCTGTTGGCCCCCCACCCCCCGCTATGAAAAAAAACTCGGGTTGATTCATAGGGGGTCAACATTAGGGTGGATACCCCTAGCATCTTGCAAGTAGACCAACCACACTCAACAACCAAACGTAAACAGGGGGGAACCCTGTTTCCTGGTTTGCAATATTTATGGTATCCACCGTACCCCCTCCCAAAAAGGCCATGCCTGAAGTTGTCAGTACCTTAGCCCGGCGGGCCCTGTTGGGGTTGACCTAAACTTTCGCAACGTGCGAAAGGTGGGGCAACTGGTTCAACAGACCCAAACCTCTGCGGAGCCCAAAGGCTTTACAACATGGGTTTGACATGTGCCAGAAGACTTCCATTTGCTTAAGCCCCCTGGAAAAATAGAAATATTTCCAGTAGTTCCCTCTAAAAACCAACAGGGGAAAATGAAAGAGAAATATTCTAAAGCAAATGAATGTGTACAACATGGACTTGAAATGTGCCAGAAGCTCCTTTCGGATTTGGGAGCGAGCCATTTTTGCTCCAAATTTCTGTAGTCTTTGACCCCGTCACAAGGAATGATGCAAAGACTGGGGCTTTGAAACGATGAAGAGCCAACATGCTTCCAAGGGTGAGTTTCACTGTCGTGGGCAACTTGCTTTCGTCTCCGTGGAACATATTGAACTAGCGCCCTTCCAAATGCAATAGCCGTAGATGCAACCTCGTCGGACTGTCCCTAACCTGCTGGCATGTTGGTGCTTCAAAAAATATCCCGCAAACGTTTACTCCCTCCTGCTTCTATTTGGAACCCCAAACGAAGATTGCTCTAGGCATGCCGCTTGTCGTGGGTTTCCGGGTTTCGCGTGACTTCTCTTCACGCCAAACACAAATGAGTATGGGTCAAAATTAAACCACCAAGGGGCCGCTAGTTTTAGTCCATGTATCCATTTGCCAGGGTTCCATTTTGGGTCCTGTTTTTGACCCACTGCCAAATCTTGATGAGGGGCGGGTTCTTGGTGAGCTCAATCTTGACCTGGCCGCAAAAATTGGCGTTGAGCGGGCAGAGCACTTGTCGCTTGGCTCGGTTGGGTTGGGCCAAGCCCTGGCTGCAGCATGATTGAACCAATCGCCAAAAAGACAACCTTCTTTCTTTGTTCTTTTTGTGGTACTCGGCCCTCCAGTAGAGAGTTTATTTTAGGGTAGGGGAACCCTCCCCAAAAAAAAGGGTACAAGGGCACTACTGGCAGACCTAGTTTTGGGGTACCATCCCCTCGCATACATCCACTTGGTGTCCTTTTTGGCCAAGGCAAGGTCCATAGGCAACCAAAAAACCGGGGGGGGGGGGGGGAGGGGGGTTGCCAAAAACAAGATCTCATCGCCCTCTCACCCCCCAAAGAAGGCAACAACTACCGGCACAAAAAACGCAACGCCCGGGCTCAGACTCAGCCACAGAGCCTCGATGCCGCGCACCCTTGGTTGACGTTGGAAGGGGAGCAACAAATTAAATCTTAGCAGTTAAGTGGATTTGGATTTCAACCACTAAACCACAATAAGCAAAACAAAAAATACGTTTCCCAACAACAACCATGAACCGATTTGGTTCGGTCTGGGTGGTTTCGACCACATGTTAGCTCTTGACGCCCGTTTCGACCGGCGCGAAACCCGCCAAACCCATGGTGGAATATGCTGCCGGGTGGGTTGCTGAGCAGGGATAGTAAACGTGTTGTCTTTCTTTTTTGTTTTTTTTGCGTGTTGAGAGGCATCATGGCAAAAGGTGCTGAAAGCTCACTTCCTGGGTGGACTTGCCAAAAAAGTCTTCACTGATCATTTGCCACTAACATGATCACGAAAGTTAAGGTGAACTAAGGGAGTAAGTATGATTGCCCCCCCAGAGAAAGGCAAGTTACTCCGGCCAATCCTACCATAAGGGGAAGGGAAATGGGGGTCCCCAGTGTCATTTGTGTTGCCCATAAACGGGAAGCGACACCACACATGGCATTCTGGCAGTCACCCTCTTTAAGGGAATTGATTGGACTATATGGGAAGTTGACTGGCTTCTTCTGGTGGTTTCTTGACCGGTTTCTGCGTTGTTTTTCGTGGGGACTTCATCACCGGCTTCTAGAGAAATCGATTTGACCGGAGTTGGACTCCGTTTAAAGGGGCGGGGAATGTCGGCTCGGGGGGTCTCCGAGAAAAGGCCCGAAGAGACATGGCCTGCAGGAGCTCGGTGTTCATGCTCTGCACCAAAAGGTCCTCCTCATGCTCGTAATCCTCGCAGATGGGCTCTGGGAAATGCAACCCACGAATCTGTGATACCAGAACCTGACCCCAATGACCAGCTCCCCAAATAAAGAAAGACTTCCTTGTAATTGTCACAGCAGAGGAAATTGACTCCTTCCCACAACCTGCCGAAAAGGTGATGTTAAAACTATAATGGGGTGGGGTGGGGGTGGGTGGGCCAGGGTGGGGTGGGGTGGGGGTGGGTGGGGCGGGGCAGTGGTGTGGGGTGGTGTGGGTGGGGTGGGGTGGGGATGGGGTGGGGGTGAATGGGTTGTGGGTGGGTGGGGTGGGTGTGGGGTGGCTGGGAAGGAAAGCCAAACCCAAAATCCGAACTCGAGGCAATTCGCCAGTTGATCAACTGGCGTGTTGGGGTGCGGAGGCTGGGGAGGGGCCTTGGGCCAAGATCGTCCCAACACCTTGTCGCATCGGCAACGTAGCCAGACTAGATACGCCAACAAGGCCACAAGTCAAACCGCTAAGCGATCGTTGTAATCCCAGGCGAGCTCGCCATCACTTTGGGAATGCTGCAATCCTAGTGGAACAGGGGCCTTGTGCACTTCAATGTTTGTGGCAGCGTAGAACACCTGTATGGCTACGTAAGGATATGAGAATATGAGAAGGCATACTCATCATACAGATCAGTAGAGGTGTGTTTGGGGGGGGGGGCGGCAGCAGTTTCATGCTCTTTAGCTTGTTGAAGTTGCAGCCAATTTTGGTTGCAGGATCCCCCCGCCCCCACCCCCTCTCCCCCTTTGTTTCCTACAAATACGGCCTCAAACATGGCGGCCAAGTTTTTCTTTGGTTTGGGAACAAAGGGCTACCGTTGAAACATGTTAGGTCCAAGCCACGGGGGAAAAAAAAACAAGAAGAAAAAAACACATGAGCGAGAGGCAAAACCTAAGACTACTTTGGGCGATTTCGAGCAACACGTTATCGTTTTTGGGGCTTCGCTATATCGTTCTGCAATGTTTCAGACATTGGTGTGTTTATGTCAAGGAAGGGTGGAAGGGGGAAAGAGAAAGAATGGAGGAAGAGAGCAGAGGAAGAGAAACTGGGAGGAAGAGAAAGCAGGAGGAGAAAGGACGAAGGGAAGAAGGATGGGGAGGAAGGGATAAAGGAATCCAGGGAGTAAGGGAGCAAGGAAGGATGGGGCAAGGGAAAAAGGAGGGTGGAAGGGAAGGGAGGAAGAGGAAGGGAGGAAGAGGAAGGGAGGAAGAGGAAGGGAGGCAGGGCAGAAGAGGAAGGGAGGCAGGGCAGAAGAAGGAAGGGAGCAAGGGAAGAAGGCAGAAGGCAGCAAGGCAGGAAGGCAGGAAGGCAGGAAGGCAGGAAGGCAGTAAGGCAGTAAGGCAGTAAGGCAGGAAGGCAGGAAGGCAGGAAGGCAGGAAGGGTGTAGATGCTGCGCCTCCCCACAAGCTCCATGACATGCTTTTTGACGCTGGTTCCAGACCGCCCACAAGCATGGGAGGTGGAGCAGGGCCCACACGCTGACCACCACTGATTGATGGGTAAGCGGTGGCCCGCCTTTTGTGCTTTCCGGGTGTCGTTGAGGTCTCGTTCAGAGTATCGTTCAGCCCTCCAAAACCAGAAGCTTTTGCCCATATTCTCTCAGAGATCTGCTGCTGCTACGCTTCATAACGAATGGGCCACCCCCCGCGCCATGCGAACGCTACAATTCCAGGGGTGTTGTTTCGGTGTCGTTTTGGGTATCGTTTTGAGCAAGCAATACTTCGGTGGCCAAAAATGCAGTTCACACTCCCCGAATGATCCGAAAAGGTGTTTCGACGCTCCAAAATAACTTTTGGGTATGGTTTGGCGTGCCGACTGTGGCGCCTGCGGGTGCAAGCAAGAAGCATAAACAGTAGGAAGGAGAGCAATCGGTGGCCCAGAATGCAGTGAAGCATGAGCAGTAGGAAGGAGAGCAATCGGTAGCCCAGAATGCAGTTCACACTCCCCGAGTGATCCGAAAAGGTGTTTTCGACGTTTGGCATGCCGACAGTGTGTGACTCAAAATTGAGCCAGCCCACCAAGAGAAGAACTGGACCTCTTTTTCAATCAGCACCCTGACATACCCTAAAGCGGTTTCCCTTACCGCCACTTACAGTGACCATGTGAGGATGTAGATATCCATGATAGGTGTGCCTTGCTGCTGGGGAAACCCTTTTTGGTTGGTGTCTTTGGGTTCCGGAACCTTGTTTTTGTGGTTGCCGGAAGGGCGGCCAAACCATACCCACAAGCCAGCCAAACCATACCCACAAGCCACTGGACACTCAAGATGCGCCTATTGGGTGCTTTTCACCAAAGCTACACTCCCCGGCTTGTTACTCAAAACTGCGTCCGGCTTGCTATTTGGAGGTTGCTGAAGGGCCAAACCATACCCAAAAGTAATTTTGGAGCATCGAAAACACCTTTTCGGATCATTCGGGGGGTGTGAACTGCACTCTGGGCCACCGATTGCTCTCCTTCCTACTGCTCATGCTTCTTGCTTGCACCCGCAGGCGCCACAGTCGGCATGCCAAACCATACCCAAAAGTAATTTTGAAGCGTCGAAAACACCTTTTCGGATCACTCGGGGAGTGTGAACTGCATTCTGGGCCACCGATTGCTCTCCTTCCTGCAATTTTGGAGCGTCGAAAACACCTTTTCGGATCACTCGGGGAGTGTGAACTGCATTCTGGGCCACCGATTGCTCTCCTTCCTACTGCTCATGCTTCTTGCTTGCACCCGCAGGCGCCACAGTCGGCATGCCAAACCATACCCAAAAGTAATTTTGGAGCGTCGAAAACACCTTTTCGGATCACTCGGGGAGTGAACTGCATTCTGGGCCACCGATTGCTCTCCTTCCTACTGCTCATGCTTCTTGCTTGCACCCGCAGGCGCCACAGTCGGCATGCCAAACCATACCCAAAAGTAATTTTGGAGCGTCGAAAACACCTTTTCGGATCACTCGGGGAGTGTGAACTGCATTCTGGGCCACCGATTGCTCTCCTTCCTACTGCTCATGCTTCTTGCTTGCACCCGCAGGCGCCACAGTCGGCACGCCAAACCATACCCAAAAGTAATTTTGGAGCGTCAAAAACACCTTTTCGGATCACTCGGGGAGTGTGAACTGCACCTTTTCGGATCACTAGGGGAGTGTGAACTGCATTCTGGGCCACCGATTGCTCTCCTTCCTACTGCTCATGCTTCTTGCTTGCACCCGCAGGCGCCACAGTCGGCACGCCAAACCATACCCAAAAGTAATTTTGGAGCGTCGAAAACACCTTTTCAGATCATTCGGGGAGTGTGAACTGCATTCTGGGCCACCGATTGATCTCCTTCCTACTGCTCATGCTTCTTGCTTGCACCCGCAGGCGCCGGCACGCCAAACCATACCCAAAAGTAATTTTGGAGCGTCGAAAACACCTTTTCGGAGCATTCGGGGAGTGTGAACTGCATTTTTGGCCACCGAAGTACTGCTTACTCAAAACGATACCCAAAACGACACCGAAACCACACCCCTGGAATTGCAGCAGCAGATCTCTGAGGAGCAAGCGCAAGCCCGCCAAGGCGTCTGCGGCCTGGCCCGTTGCGGGCCCTTTGTGTGCGCGGAAGGATGTGCGCTGAAGGAGCTGCGCGTGTGGTTGAAAAAGCAAACGCACTAGGTAGGCCTCACATTAGCTGCTCCGGGACGTTCTCGGAGTATCGATGGGGTGTCGTTTTGGGTATCGTTCTGGGCGCGTGTAGTGTCACGAAAAAAAACAAACTTGCTATAAGCTAGAGCCAAGCAAGCGCACAAGAGCCTTCTCTACCTTGCGGTGGTCATGTGATCAGCGGACTAAACTATGCTTCTCTGGCTCCCAAGCATTGGCGGCTTTGCTTGCTGGCTGCAACTTCCAGGTCGCAAGTCGCAACTTTCAGTACCAGCGCAGTACGCAAGTTACACTTTGGCAGCTCCAGCTCGAAGGTCGCAGCGTGCGCCGGTGCCTGCGGGCGCCTGTGCGTGTGCGTGTGCGCGGGCGCGTTAGCGATCCATCTGGGTGGGCCCATCTCGTGCACACATGTGCCCACCATGCATTGCCGAGGAGCATTGATAGGAGCTGTCATGGCAACTTACAGCTTGGGGCAAAAAAAGCTCACACAGTGCAAAATAGAAGCGCGAAGCGCCAGTTGCACGTCATGCGACGTTATCGTTTTTGGGGCTTCGCTATATCGTTCCTGAGGAAAAATACAACACAAGCAATGCGAAATCGCCGAAGACATATTTTATGAAGAGAGAGTTTAGCCTTTTGCTCACATATTTCAGCTCGACTTTTGGGAACCTGTCGGGCTTGAAAATGACAGTTCAACGTCAGCATCCAGCGAATCGTCACATCCGTTGATTTCCCGAGTTGCACCGGATCAAAACAGGGGCCACTTGTGCTGCCCGAATGGAGCGGCCACAACACGTCTGCCACTAAGTTTCATCTTCTCACAAAGTGGCTAAACTCGAACCGAGGGCCAAGTATATTTATCAATATGGGGGTGTCCCTGATTTAGTGGGGAATCATCACTTCTGGAGAGGAACCCCGCATATAAATAGCAGGGGCTTATTTTAATCAGGGGTCAACATTGAAGCCGAGAATGACCTTCCCAGGCCGAACAACTGAGGAACCTCTGTCGCTCAGAAGCCGCCCGCCTGCGCACATGCCCCACCACCACAGTCGGCCACTGCGCTGGTCAAGAAGAGAAATCCGAGGAAGAGGTACACCATGCTGCGGCGGGGCTTCGTTGACATGCATGTTGAATTGTATGATTCAAACACCCCCTAAAGCCCACTGACCCAGGCTTCCTCCAAATGAGGCCGAATCCTATAATTCTTGACTCATTCATAAACGGCTGAACGGGAGGGCACCCGGTATGAACTCCTACTTGCTTGGCTAAAAACACAAAGGGGCCCCAAGTGGAGGCGACCTCTACATCGGGTCCATACAAGCAGCGTGAACAGAGGTGACCAAAAGCCATCTGAAGCAACTGGAAGTCATTCCAAACACTGCGACCGATGCAGCATGCTTCCACAAAAACTCCCTCACACATAGTTGGGTGGGAATTTTAATGGGACACCTTTTGGTGGACAGCATTTCGTTGCAGATTCCTGCCCTCCAACCACTTTTGTGATGGTCGCCTATTAAATGTCATAGCCAGTGTGTCCCTGCGTGATGCTTCCAAAAGGAACGAACAAAGGAGAGAAAGCCACTGGCGAGTTGACATGTTTGAGGTGGCAGGAAGCCTGCTAACAAAGAGGAGATTCTGGCTTAAGGAACCAAACTGCGACAACTTCCGCCCCCAGCTGAAAACGGAGTTATGTGGATCTTGAAGAACCCTAACAACAAAATAGTGAGCCATAGTGAGCCTTACCATGCAACATGCTGTCAAAACAAATGCTAGACCGTGCTAGAACTAGAGACCGGTGCTCCGAGCGCGTTAGTTTGATCAGCCTGAAACCCAAAGCCAGCTCTGAGAGCCGGGCTGGGTGGTTGTTTTTGTTTAACAATGTGGCTGTGAGTCAACAATAGATACCCAAAATGGAAGCCTGGCAAGTTGGAAACCTGGACCAAGCCGTGCGGTCCATATCCTGGTGGTTTAATAACTTGACCCATGGCCACCATATTTTACCGAGAAACAGATCAAGGGCGCAGCGACCTTCAACAAGTCAAGTTGGACGACACAGTGCCCACTTCACGAGGCCGGAGATTGGCCAAAACAAGTCCCGGAAGGGCACCTACTTTTTCCCCGTCTATTTATTTTAGTAGGGGAACCGAATCTCCCCACCCAAAAAGTTGGTAGAAAACAGGGCACCAATTGCTGGGGGACCTAGGCTCAAATGGCAAACCCAAGTGACTCAAGTCCCGGACCTCAGGGAGTGAGCTTTTTGGAAATCAAGGTCCGCCAGCCCAGCCCGGCAGCCCGTGCGCCCAAACTGGCCGACGCTATTTAAACATCCGGGCTGGACCCACGCCTAACTTGGTTGACGTTGGACAGGGGGGCAAACAGAAATACATTTTAGCAGCTAAGTGGGGGGATTTACCACTAAACCACAACAAGCAAAAATGCAAAATGTTTCCCAACAACAACCATGCCAAGGTGCCAACAGAGTACCTGTTCAGAGCAAAGAACAACCGGAAATCACATGACCATAATCAAGAAAAACAAGCATCGAAGCTCTAGATTCGCAGGCTTTAAGCCTGAAGCTTCCACACAATCCGAGTGGAGTGGAAAAAGGCCCTACCTGAACGCGAGCTCTGAAGCAAGGTCCTCCTTCCATATAGGTCTGTCCCATTGAAGACCTGTCACTTTTGGGGAGTGCTTCCCCATTCAAAATCGCAGGGTTTCTACGTTATAGGCTGGTCCGGGCAACATTTGCACTTTTGGCACCGGGAAACGCCCCGTTGCTGGGCCATGGTTGTTTGGCCGCTACCCTGAAATGAGAATCCCGGAGCATGAAAGCCACCTCATCCGCTACCACTCAATTGGTGGCGTGGATTGGTGCTTTGGGATTTGCGCCCCAGTTCCTTTTGAAACCAATGTGGGAAAGGCAGCCCCCAAAGTCCAAACCACCTCCAGAGTCTGCAAGTTCTCCAAACCCAAAAAAAAGAGAAAAGGCCAACGGAGGTGCACAACCGCTCGCAGACCCCTCCCTGAGGGAAACAACGGACCAAAATGCGGCACTGTTTTGACACCAGGCACTGAGCAAAAACCGCCAATAAATCTATGAACAAACAGCGTCTTAGTGTTGTCACTGTGGAAAAACGTGGAAAAACATTGGCAAACCAAAAGTTGCAAATACCATTAACCCCTAAAGGGGGCTATGAGGAGGGGGGCTATTCCTTATTGGTCCCTTAACAAGGCCTTATCCCCAAACCTTTTTAAGGGCTTACACTCGGCATACCCTAGGCCTATCCAGGGATGCCCCCCCCCCATAGCCCCCCCCTTCGGGGTCATGGTGTCTTCAGCCCATGTTTTCCAGGCGAAAAGCGGGGCAACGCACCGCCACCCAGTTCAAAAATTCAAACCCACCTCCCCCGCCCCCAAAACCGGCATCTGCCGGACTTCTGCCCTGGACTTCCGCCCGGCAGCCCGGCCCCGCCCGGCAGCCCGGCCCCGCCCGCCTTTCGAATAAGGAAAATGGACGGGTCGAGGATGTGAGATTGCAACTCTCAACGCCGCTGAGCCGTGAAAGCCAACGCCGGCGGAGTTTAGAGTTTGCGCTCAATTCAAGCGAGGCAAGCAACCAGGGAGGGCAAAAAACAACATCTCTCTCACTTCCGATCGAGTGGATGTGTGCCCAAAAAAGTCCAGGAGCTTTTTGTTTACCACTCCAAACCCAAGTGACTAGAGTCCAAACTTAGGGGAGGCAACACGTCTTGCAAACGTCTTGATTAAAAAACAAAAACACCGGAACCCCAAAAGCCCAGCCGCCCCCCAAGGAGGGCCTACCCCTCAAGACCAGCCGCATTTTTGTTGGGCAGTTGGTTTTGACTCACTTCCGAACCTTCGTGGATGGCCCCCCACTCAAATGGCAATCACACCCAAACAGTGACTGAAGTCCAGTTGCATTTAAGGAAGTTGAAGGCAACCCCCCCCCTCCGAGAACAAAAAGGAAGGCGCTGGTCGGGGATAGGACCTGCAAAAACTGCGTCACTGGAACCTGCCGAATGGGCGGACAACGACGACGGAACTGTTTTTTCTCGGCGCGGCCAAGAGCCGGCTGAGAGTCCAGCCGCTTCCGCGGGTGTTTCCGCGCGCGGGAGGCACTTTGGCTGTGTCCCCTTGAAACCTCTGCGACACGAACACCGACACGAACTACCTAGTTTTCCCACTGGGGCCATTGGCTTTGAAAAATGTTGCATCACGTCCGGGACGTGTTACAAGGATAATCCCAGTGAAATTCCGATCTGCTTCGGTTTGGCGGGAGGCCAAACAACAAAAGAGAGAAGCTGCCGCACTGGACTCCAACATATCGACCTGAGCGCTTCTAATCACTTGACCAGTGACCCTGGTACTTTAAAAGGGAAATCCCTATTTTGGGCCCACCATATCTGGAAGACTAAACGGTTGGGTTATCTGGAGTAACCCAACTGATTGTTCTTGAAGATGCCACATCTGGGCATGTTATACTAGACTTCCAAACTCTGAAATAAGAATTGGAGTAAGAAACCCAATTCATCGTAGTGAGCCTGGAGCTTGCCAGTAGGCAAAGGGATGATCTTCTTACCCAACCCTGGTCTCACTCCGGGATCAGTCGATCTCGGGCTGGGAGCCGGCGGAGTGCCCTGAAGTAAAGCCACATCCAGATGGAAATGCTCACTTCCTGAGTGGATGGCCCAACAAAAAGTCTGCACTTGTAGCTACCACTCAAGTGGTCCAAACCCAAAAAGGCAACTCAAGTCCAGGAACTTGGGAAGTGAGACTACCATCATCCCGGATTCTTGGAGAAATGGTACCGGACTGAGGGGTCCTGGAAGACGATCTTTCCTTTAAAGGGGCCCTCTGGTGGGCTCGATGTGAGTGGACAGGAGGGTAAAATGCCCATAGTGAGCAAGTGATGGTGAATGGATGAGCTGCCCACTTGGGCAACGAACCCCTGCGGAAGATCCTCTTAAACCCCAAAAAACAAGCAGGGCTCGTCTCCATTTGGGAAAGGCCCTTTCAACCATTGAGCAGTGCCCCATTTCAACAACAAAGTGGGCAATTCCAACCCCGCCTCCTACATGACTTTTTTTTTGCAGGCTCCGCGTGATCTGCGGGGTGCGACACATCCCAAGTTTCCCAGCTTCTGCACCCCCAACGAATCAGCGGATCACCAAATCCAAACGTCGGCCTGGGAGCTCTCAGCTGCAAGGGCTCCGCGTTTTCGGCTGGTATTATCCTTTAAGGGGCCCCGTTTAACTCAGACAACGTTGGATTCTGACTCCCTCCAGGGATCTTCCCTTGTGCCGAAGGGAAAATGTGTGTGTGATGCCGCTCCCGCCGCCCCCCAATTGCTCAGGGGATGAAAACAGTCACTCGGTTCAAGAGTTCAAGGCAGCTAAAAACAACCTTGACAACTGGTAAGAGTCAACTTGGGGGAAGCTTTCCCCTTCTTTCCAGTGATCCTTCTTTTCGGGAAACCGTAATCAATCCCCGCAGAAGACTCCTGAGCTAAAAAAGATTTTGCCAGTAGTGATGGATTATGTTCAAAAGCAAAAGATAAAATGACACATTCTCTGAACCGTACACGGAAGCGTCTGAATTAAAACCAGTATTACTAATCTTTCGACTTACGCATGCCGGCGGCCCAAAAGGAAGCCCTTTCTGGAATCTGGGCGTAATGGGGATCCCACACCAAGGGGCGCCATCAGAAGTTGGGCGCCATGACTTGGCCAAGTTTGTAGCCAGACCCTGAACGTCGGTGTTTTGAAGGTTCGCAAAGGACCTATTCGAAGATAAATCCATATACGTGCTGTCTTTTCCAGAAATATGAAATCTAATATTCCCTTTAACCAAGCAAATGTTCGCAGGGAGACCGCCCAACCCTGCCCCTTCCAGGAGAACATTTCTCTCATCCTGCAGCCGCAGATGCGTGGGAACAAATGAGCATGTCCTGTAGTGATAGATCCCCCTGAAACCCGGCAGCTGGGGAAATTCATATAGCTCCAGGGTTCATTCCCCATTCTGTTCAACTGACTGGCTGAGTAGATGGCCCAAAAAAAAGTCCAAACTTTATTTTTACCA